TGATGAAATCGTCACCAGCTCAGATCAATACCCACAATGAAACTCGAATTCAAGTTTTAGTGGCGGGAATACGACCGCGCATCTTGTTTATCGAGCGATGTAACGATTTATTGAAGCACTTTCATGCATCGACTCTGGCTGACAAATTTGTGTTTCGGGGATATGCCCCAGTTGCAGAGTCATTGACGTCGTTGATATGCCGACATTCCCGCAAAAGCCGAGCTCAATGCAGCAACCACAATTGTAACAATAGATCTATATCGCTTTTAATGTCAACTGATAAGAAATTGGTGCGTCGCTCATCGCCTTTCCTTGCAAACTTGGCGTTTTGTCTAGCGCTCTCTGGCGTCGCTACACCAAGCGCCGCGCCCGAGACAGTCTTTTGACGGCGTGCCCCGAACCTCACTGAGACGAAACACAATCTATAAAAAGAAATCAATCACATGTCTCTTGCCATTTCTCTCACCAAAAATGCCAACCGCCAAGACCAATCCTCGCCGTGGCGAACCCCGAAACCAGTGAAGATCCCGCCCGCTTTAAACCCTCTCACATTCCTGTCAAGCACGCTACGCAACCGACCAGCCACAGCAGAATTCCGATCTTTTTCCAAAACCGGGATTTGAGGAATGCGATTTTCAGGGACGGGACCTTGCATTTTACTGCAACGCGTGGCGCTGGGGGAATGCAGGAACGGATTATGGGTAGGCGTAACGGTTAACGGCAACATTGGTCTAAAGACTTTTCTTTCCGTTAGAACCTTTAGAGCATTAAAGATATTTGTTGATGGCAATTGATGTTTTTGGTATAGTTCATTGTTGATAGCTCAACGGTGAGTTTGTTCCGAAAGTCCATTGAACACTGTGACTGTTCATCGCGCAATCTGCTTTGTGATCGCTTCAATTGTTCGACACCAGAGACCCTTGATCACGGCATATGCGTTACCCTACAATCGATCACTCCATTGACTGTGCATGTTTCCCTGCTGTTCTGAAACACTGTTGAAGGTCCCGCGGTCATCCCGTGGTATTCCCAGCCCTGGCCGCCATTGTCACTGACGCATGTCTCACATCCAGCCATCTGAATCAATGTGTTCGCCAGCAAAACACCACTCCAACTACGTAACAACAGAGCCTCATGACAATACCCATTATCCAATTCCAAGTTTAGAATTGTAAGAAAATCACTTCCAGCCATTTTGAGCAACTCGCTGCATCAAAAAGTCTTATCCCTTCATCCCCCGTGATGCAAACTCGCCCATCACCGTGTCTCAATCACGCAGCATATGACCAGTTCCCAACCACTCTGAAACTTGTGCTCCCACTGAATTACTCACTGAATAGCTCACTGTACGACAGTGATGCACACTGAAGATTTGTTGCAGCTGGTGTTGAGGCTGGTTTTGTCTCCCCTTCACATCCCTTGGAGGGAGCACGTTCTAGCCCGCCGCACTAACACGAACCCGCAATCCTCCCTAGTTCTCGACTGACCTCTCAACCTTGGCACGTCAAAACCAATATTGCACGTCCTCAAAAATGTATAAAACTAATCGAAAGCCTCACCGTTTTCCCATTGACTCATTCTCATCACACATTCTTCTACATACATAACAACAGCCTCTTGGCTTTTTCCCTTTCCTTCTCTCCCCCCTTCAAACACCAAAACTCTCCTTCTCATCATGAAGCTCTTCAACGCCTTCGCTACAGCGCTCGGTCTAGCTGGTCTAGCCCAAGCCCACATGGAGATGACATATCCCGCCCCCTTCAAGAGTAAATACAACCCCTACGCCGGACAGGACATCGACTACAGCATGACCTCGCCTCTGAACGCCGACGGAAGCAACTTCCCCTGCAAGGGATACAACTCTCTTTACGGCACCGCTGCTGGTGCACCGACCGCTACGTGGCAGGCTGGAAAGTCGTACAGTATCAGCATCGCTGGCGGTGCTGATCACGGCGGCGGCAGCTGTCAGGTCTCACTCTCTTTTGATCGCGGCAAGACTTGGGTCGTTCTCCAATCGTGGATTGGAAACTGCCCCAAGGCGCCGACTTCGAACTTTCAGTTCACTCTTCCGGCTGATACACCAACTGGAGAGGCTATTTTCGCTTGGACTTGGTTTAACAGGATTGGAAACCGCGAGATGTACATGAACTGCGCGGCTATCACGGTCACGGCTGGAAGTGGAACAGTAAAGACAGCACTCAAGAATCGGCCTGCTATGTTTGTCGCAAACGTCGGAAATGGATGCAAAACTACCGAGATGGTGGACCTCATGTTTCCTAAGCCGGGACCTAATGTTGACCTCACTTCGACCAACACTGGACCGCCGGTCGGCCAGTGTGCTGCTTTACCAGTACCCTATATTCCCTCCGGCTCTGGTTCTTCTTCTCCAACAAAGATAACCACTACAAAGAAGCCGACTACGACCAAGGCACCAGTGAAGTCTACAGCGTAAGTCGCCTTCTCTCTTTGCTTGATCTCGCTAACATGTTTCACAGCCCCGGCGGTGTTTTCATCACTGTTCCTTCTCCTTCAACCACCAAGAAGACGACGGCCAAGACGACCCTCAAGTCAACAATCCGCAAGACAAGCACGACTACATCAGTCAAGCCTGCGCCAACCAAGCCCGCCGCCGGTGTCATCACCCCAGGTACAGCTTGCACGCCCGAGGGTTACTGGAACTGCATCAAGACAGGAACGGCCTTCCAGCGATGCGCTTCAGGTACTTGGTCAGTCGCGATGGCTGTTGCGCCAGGAACAAGATGCGTTCCTGGGCAGAGCATGACTTTCACTATCGAGTATGCCTGATTATGATTTGCACTCTTTCTTTTGCAATGCAATGTTTCTTATGTTTGATACCTAGAGTAGAGGATAGATAATGAGCTTCCGAAATAAAAATGCAATCACGTTCCTTAATCAGCCTGAATGCATCACAAGTCCCACTGTGCTAAGAGTCTCAAGGGTCCTGCGCCATTTTCCGCGCGATGGATGCGGGGCTTGAAAATCACCCGAGTCCACCTTTGCTCAACACTAACTACCACGCTTCCCGCCGCGGAACATTCGGGTAGCAACGCTAAAAACTTCAATTCTTTAAATCATGGCGGAACCAGTGACTACGACCCAGGAACCGATTGAACCTATTGCCGCGCATGAGCGGGCGGAGGAGGAGGATGAGTTTGAGACGTCGGATTTCGACTCGGCGACCTTGTCGTCAAGTTCGACGAGTTTGAACACGAGTATTTATCAGCATGCTTTTGAGAATGGAAGACGGGTGAGTAAGACGCCTTGGCGTCTGAGAAATATGCTGATTTTGGATAGTATCATCAATATCGTCATGGAACGTGAGGAACCTGAAGGGCTGGTTGCGGTGGATGGCTGATTTGGACAGGTATCCGATCCCCAATGACGATGCAGAGCAGAACCGCGACGATATGAAGCACGCCATGATGTTGGAGCTCACCAAGTACAAACAACTCGTTGGATTACGCTGCGATCAAGACACTGACGTGCATTTCAAGTGGCAACCTGTTCTTCTCACCTATTGTTGAAAACCCCCAGAAGATTATTGATCTCGCAACCGGAACTGGTATCTGGGCCATCGACGGTAAGTCAGACCGCTCTTTCGCAAGGCCCCAAGACTCACCTTCCCAGTCGCCGACAAATTTCCCAGCGCATCTGTAGTAGGAGTCGATCTAAGTCCCATCCAGCCCTCATGGGTTCCCCCGAATCTCAAGTTTCTTGTCGACGACATCGAGGACGAATGGATGCACGGCGGTGACTTTGACTTTGTGCACATGCGTTGCATCAGCCCCTGGTTGAAAGACGAGGTCAAGGTTCTTCGTCAAGCGCACGAGTAGTTTCACCCCTCTCCCAATCTGCATTCTCATCTCACACGTAACAGTCACATGAAACCTGGTGCTTGGATTGAAATCCAAGAACTCGATGCCCGCGCCAACTGCGACGACGGCTCTCTAGCCCCCGACGCCCCTCTTGCCAAGTTCTTTGACACCGCTGAGCAAGCCGTAGCCAGCTTCGGCATGAAGTTCCGCGCAGGTGAGAACTTGCGAGAACCTCTTGAGAAAGCTGGCTTCACCAACGTATCCTGCAAGGTCCTCAAAGTCCCCATCGGAACATGGGCAAAGGTGAGCACCCCAGCAAGTTGATCTGGACAAGCTGACCCTTGGTAGGACAAGAAGCTTCGCCTCATTGGATTGTACCTCAAGACCGCTGTCAGCGACATGTTTGGTGCCATGGCAGCCAAGCCCCTGCGCAAGATCCTGGGGCCTGAAGAGATAGAGGTCTTCCTAGCTGATGCGAGAAAGGATCTGAATAATGTCAATATTCATTCTTATGAGAAGTACTACTTCTGGATGGGACAGAAGGCTGAAGAGTAGAGAATTGAAACTTTAAAGAGGTAGTTGCTAAATAGAAGCCTTGGAAAGAGTTCTCTTGTGATGCTGGTTTGTTGCCACTCGTGCTTTTAGGGGTGATCCTGGCAGGGGACTTCAGCCAAGTCTCATTACAATGCGATGTGGAGCTGCTGCAGCATCTTTGAGCAAGGAAGAATTACAGATAATTGCAGGGCCTCCTGAATGACGATTCCATTGGTTGAAGTTCTTGGCATCTTTCAGCCTCATGCAGCGCCGAAAACCCCGCACCAGGATTTTGTCTGAGAACACCAGAAGAATAACCAAACGATACGATAGGAAACGATGGAACTTCTTGTTAATTCAATATCCATCGCCTTGGCTTATGCCTCTATGGCCTCCTTCGTCTTCAAAACAACTTATGTGCAAGAAAGAGAAGCACTCATTGACAGGAAGAGGTAGAAGGACAGCATCCGCCTTGGTCCCCACGAAGGGCGGTTCAATGGAGGCTCGTACATTACACTAGAGGGGGAGTCCCGTTGGCAATATTCTTGGGGCGATGGGGAGCCCCGTGATAATGCAGGAGAGGCGACCCACGGCGATACTCCGCAGTCCAATAACAACATACGACTTGAGATGATAGAAGAAGGCTACCATGGCTCCGTGGACACTTTTCCTCTTGCCACGGGGTTGATGCAGCTCTCTGCCCAATGGGAACAAGCCAACTCGAACGCAAGGCATCACGTCACCATATATGAGACTACAGTCCCCGTGAAGGTCAGGAGATACATCAATGTTCGCGAAGACGACCAGGGCAAGCGCGGTAAGTCCCTGTCAAGCTTAGTGGTTAGATATTAACACTATCAGTGGTAATCGAGTGTAACACTTATGCTCGAAAGGTCTTTAGCCACAATCTGCCAGATTTCCACTCCGCAAAGCATATCATGGCAGAATTAAAGCTATTAGATACATCTTACATCTCCGTTCGATCCAAAGATAACTGGAAGAAACTCATTCTTCTACAGTTCCATCACGCATGCCTGAGACTGTTTTTCGAATTTCTTACAGCTTTGGAATCATACGAGAAAGAACGTACGAAAGACGCAGACACGGATTCCGGTTCAGCAGAGCTCTGGCAATGGAATCTCAAGTCCATTACCAAGCGATCCAACGAGTATCGAGATCTTGCAGAAATGGCCCGCAAGCTAATCAGTACTACTGAATCCCTGATCGACGTAGTGAGATCGTCGTCTCCTGTTGTCGACTCGACATCTCATGCGAATAAGTTCATGGCCATTGACACGGAACTGCGAGGACTCTGCCGAGAGGCGAGCGAAATGATCCAGAACTTCTCAGATCAACTAGATCACGAACTCAAGTACCTCGAACTAGCCCGGGACATCAATCAGACAAAGAGCGTTCAGCAACTCACACTCCTGGCCACAATATTCCTGCCCTTGTCTCTTGCCGCTGGAGTTCTCAGTATGCAAACAAGATTCAAAGATCTCGGTACACTGCTGTACGATTTCTTCGGCGTGGTGGTACTACTTGCGGCTATTGTTCTAATTCTCATAATCCTGCTGAATCTCATGGCTTTTGTGAATGAGGTAGACAGCAAACTTAGTGTTAGAAGTTCCATGTACAGAGTAGTCTTTAGAGGAAAGCTGCTGTTTATGATCAACATCGGATTCTTTGTATTTGGGTGTCTAGTGTTATCATCCTTCTTGGTTGGAATGTTCAAAGATGTTTTGTTCGGTGCCAAGATACTAGGATATGGTGTTGCAGCGATATGTGGTGTATGGATGTTTCTGGCAGCTATTTGGGCCTTTCTGTTCATGACATGAGCATGATCAAAAACAGAAGCCTGGGGGATCTAGTCATGGGCGTTGTGCTGGAAGGTTTTCTTGAACATGTCAGCTACAGAATGAACAAGAATGAAGTGAAAGGAATGTTTAGAGTCACCTTTACCTTGACAGGTGCATGGGCTGCTCCCATCTTTAGCACTGTGACATTTCAGGAGGAACTGATGTCACTGGCAGATACTTAGGCCCATTTATCTGGCTATTCATGCCCCACCATGTTCAGTAATAAAAAGTCAGTGCTGCATCCCACCTCTCTCGTCTTTTTGTAACCTCCACCACCTCCTTTTCACGTTTTCTAGTAGTCAAGTAAGTCCTTCTCGAATATTTCGTCGTTCTTTTTCTAATATCTCTCAAGCCAACAAGCACAATATGCCTTTCCAAGCTGGGATCATCTTGCACTCAGTGTTGTGCGCGGACTACAACCCGCAACGCCCTCTCGTTGTTGAAGATCGCCCCGATATCGCGATTCCTTCTGCACAGCTGGAGAACACGATCGACGTGCTTCGCAATAGAAGGTCATACACCCACAAGGCGTGGGATACTTGCCAGCTAAAGCTGGAGGAACTCGAAGAACAGGAGGGTGAGGTGAATGTGTTCGCTGTCCTCGACGCGGCAGAGGAAGCGTACAACGAGGTGATCCTGGACCTGAAGGAGTTTTCGCAACTTCAAAGCGATGCGGGAGAAGACGCCAGTGTTCTCCTTCGACCCGAGGCAGACGTGCTGGGTTAGGCACCAGCCGTCATGTGCCGGATCGTCGGAGTTGACGACCCCAATGACTTCCCGGGTGAGTACGGATACTGGTGGAACGACAAGACAATAGAACCCTCTGCTAACTAATTGACTTACTTAGTGATCGACGCATTTTCCACTGATCTGGCTAAAGCGCGAAATGTCCTGTTCGGACATGCCACCAGCGAAAGTGGTGAACCCGTGGAACGGTTCACCGGCATCGACAAGCTTTTGAAGGAAGCACTCCCACAGCTGCAGAAGTTTTTTGAAGGGCAGAATAACACAGTAGTCGTGTTTCTGATGATCTTAGAGATCATTCAGATGCAACGCTTTGTGGAAGAGCAGGGCGAGGGGAAGTGGCTCCAGCCTCTGAAGGATTCCCTTGGCGAGGCTCTTTATGAGCAAGTCTTGGAGGCTGGAGCTGCCTGATCGGTGGTACCGCATCTCGACACAACAGTCGGTGCGCTGCCGGGGGCCTTGGAAGAAGATGTAAGCACCTCAAACCCTGTTGCGCAGCTCATTTTGCTAATCGTTTCTTGTTTCAACTTGTAGCTCTGTTGCTGCGGGCGGATACTTTCTTGGTACTGGTGGTGATATGATTGCTCCATCGTCTGGGATGAGACTGGTGCCTGCTGTCCTGTATTTTTCTTGTTTTCTGGGGGGATGAGAAGTTTTATACACAAAGAATGATGCCTTGGCTCCTGGCTGTGCGCGGAGGATTTATCCCCTTTTATGTCAACAATGATGAGGGCAGACTCATAAGAAATAAAAGCCAAATACTATCGCAATCGGTTCAGGACGAATATGAGAGCTGAGATCAAAGCCAAGTTCAGACCATCATATTTCGATGCGCGACAGTCACCAACTACGTCAAGTATAAACAACCAGAAGTACATTAATTCATTCATATAACTCCAAGACAAGTCTCCAAGCTCAACAGACACTACAAGACTACATAATAAAGTAAAGCATAACTATTTACGTGAAGAAAAATAATAAATTCAGATACACAATCATGATATTGATCTTAGACTTGGGGTATAGTAATTAGCCCTATTCACTCTGCTGTTCCTGACCCACCATCTTTACCGTAGTAACTAAAAGTTAGTGCTGCATTCTACTTCGCTTATTTTTCACAACTTCTACATCTCATCAACCCTTTAAACTTTTCCTTCTGTTTCTTTTTGACCGTTATATTTACATACCGCTACCCGACACTCGGAATATCTAACAAACAGTCAAGATGGACTTTCTCCACGGCCTTTCGGGCAACTTCCTTACAATCATTTGCGGTAAGCATAAGCCTCAGCGGCCCCTAAACATCGAGGACCGGCCAGACATCCCCCTACCGCGCGCCTATCTCGAGGGCATAATCGGAGAAGTCAAGGCTCGGGGCGACCTCACTCACGAGGCGTGGGAGGAGTGTCTCACCACCCTAGAAGCGCTTGGAAGCGAAGACGAGACAAATGCTTTTCAAGTGCTGGATGCTATCAACGACGCCTACCGAGAGGTGGTCGGCGATCTTAAAGAAATTGTGGACTTGCAGCGGGATGTGACCCAGGACATGAGTATCCTGCTCCGCCCGGAGCATGACGTGGGGGGGTTAGGCACCCTCCATGATGGCCCGGGTTGTTGGGGTCAGCGATACCAGCGAATGCCCTGGTGAGTACTGGTGGCAATATCAGATGAACGAAGACACTGCTAACGAATTAACGTACCAAGTCATTGAAGATTTTCGGAAGACGCTTGTCGAGGCGGACAAGACCCTCGACGGACTTGCAACCGACGCGAACAGTGAAGCTATCCCTAGGCACATGGGACTTGCGAAGCTCCAAGAGGTCCTCGCACATTTGCAAACTTTCCTGGATAGCCAAAGAAACGCCGGGATCGTCTTTACGACAATCTTGGAAATTGTCAAGCTCCAGCAGATCGTGGAGGACAATGGGGAGGGTAAGTGGCTTCAGCCACTGAAGGAGACGCTCGGCGATGCTCTTTATGAGCAGATTGTCCAAGCCGGGGAAATCTGAAGAGGCAGGTCAGGAGCCAACTTGAGGATGTCTCTGGGAAGCCTACGGCTCTCACCCGAAGTGGTTCGAACTACCATATCCAGCTGCATCAGACAAACTATGCTGGGGTTAAAGGGAACGCTACTCTCGTCCGACACACTCAGGCACCTTACCTCTGGTGGACAAACAAACGTCAACAATTGGCAAACTCGGAATCAGATCCGTAACTTGGTTCAGAAGGATAGATACCGACCAAGTCAGGGTCGTAGACGGACTTTTAATACATGCAGAAGCAGAACTAGTCTCCCAATTCAATTGTAGTAACAAGACTTGTGAAAACGTGACCAGTGGCCTTTTTTACCTTAGGGTTAATGATTGTTTTGAATGCCTAACAATGGATTTTGATATGTTCGACTTGGGACCTGGTCCTGGTCTGGTATGGTCATGGCTAGAGTGGTCTGCTGCTTGCTGATTGGCTGGTCTGAGAGATAAGCGATAAGATTGGTGAGCGTGCCTTTTTCATGCGTGTTGTTTCTAAAGGCCTGTATGATCTCGAACTTTTTCAAATTTCTCAAATGATCTCGACATCGTCTTCTTTCTTGTTCTTTTCAGTTACTCCCTTTATCGAGTGTCCAACATCAGCTGACTGCACTGCCCATCGACAATTCCATTGGCTCCCCAGAAGCAAACAAGCCCAAACCGCATTCGTTCTAAACCGCATGCCAGCCCCACCAAAACCAGTTTCTTTATCGTATCACCAAACGCGTCTCGCTTGCCCGAAGAGTTCCCCTCAATCCCCCTTTTTCGCTGTTGGTCGACATCGAATTCCACCCTCACACGCAGAAAGACACGCAGCAGAGACATAACCCAGCCCTTGCAGATATTGTTAGTCACGCACTGCAGAATGTCCGAACAGCCCTCTTCTCCTCCTGCTGCTGCTCCTCCTGCTACGGCTCGGTCCGATCTAGCGTCGGCCGTTGAGTCAGCTCCAGCGCCGCAGGCTGAGTTAGTTCCCGCTGCTGATCCACAGGTGAGTTTGACGCATTTCTCGTATAGAGATACGTATTCCGGACAGTTACTAATGCCTGTAAGGATGGTGATGAGAGTGAGACCGACTCGGCTGTTGGTGATGATGCGTATGGGACCCTTGCTGATACTACCTCACCGTTGCTGACCGCTCTGCAGGGCGAGCTCCACTGCTTCCATCACCTCCAGCATCCTTGAGTACCGCACTATTCAGGGCCGAACGTTTCACAGTGATAGACATCCTACTGAGTACTTTACTCCCAACGACGAACAGCAGTCTGCGTCCATTGACATCAAGTTTGTGACACCCTTTGGAGACCGACCCCGCTAACAATCTGTAGCCATCACGCTTTGACGCAGCTTCTTAGTGGAAAGCTCTTCCTTGCGCCTATCAAGGACAACGTGCAGGTGAGTGCATGGATCATTAGTCTTATGACGTGCTCACATCCATTAGAAAGTACTGGATGTAGGAACCGGGACAGGTGAGACTCGCATGCATATCGTGCATTGACTAGGCTAACCAGGTACAGGCATCTGGGCAATGTAAGACATCTCAACCCTCCATCATGATGATGACTCACCCACCATTCAGTGATTTTGCAGACGAATACCCTGAGGCTGAGGTCATCGGCTCTGACCTCTCACCCATCCAACCCAGGTACGCCGTCCCCTTCCCTCTGCTATCATCTCACTCACCATCCCCAGCTGGGTCCCCCCCAACGTCAAGTTCGAGATCGACGACGCCACCCTCCGCTGGACATGGGACAACAACACCTTTGACTTCATCCACATCCGCTATCTCTTCGGCGCCATCAAAGACTGGACATCCCTCTTCAAGGAAGCTTACCGCTGCTGTGCCCCCGACGGATGGATCCAATCCGCCGAGGCAGACGTCCACATCCGCAGTGATGACGGAACCACTGATGATCTTGACTGCTTGAAGCTCTGGGCGAAGCTCTTCACTGAGGGTGGCGCTGCTCTTGGAAGCCCGTTCTTCGTGCAGGAGGGTGATTTGCAGGAGAAGGGCATCCAGGCTGCTGGGTTCACTGACATAAAGAGTATCGAGTACAAGGTGAGTTAAAGTCCGAAGATTGCGAGGCAAGGCTGATGGTTTAGTTCCCTATTGGTGGTTGGGCGCGTGACCCTGAACTCCGTTCGGTGGGTAACTACGTCAAGGCGACTCTCGAGAACGATCTCGAAGGTACATCTCCAGATTTCCCCCTCCCTCTCTCATACTGACAAACTCCAGGCTACACCCTCCTCCTCTGGAAGACCATCCTTCAGTGGCCTGAGGACGAGTATCAAGTCTTCCTCATGGAGATGCGCAAGTTCCTCAGAAACAAAAAGGTCCATGCTTACATGACTGTTCGCTACGTCTACGGTCGCAAGGCAGAGGCTTCTTGAGGCGTTCTTTACGAACTGTTATAGAAGGGATCATTTGTGGGAGGCCATTTGTGTTTGAGCATGAAATGAGAATCGGATAACGTCTATAGCATACGTATGAGTAGTTTTTTCTAGAGATTGAATTGCATTGCATCTGCCTCACTGTATTGGATCTTCCTCTCCTCCGTCAGGATCAAAAATTGCACCAAGAAATAAGATCTCTTGTATACTCTAACATGGAAAGAAAGACGAAGTGCAACATATCCAACAGCATCTAAAATTCTTCAAGCCCTTTCTCGCTCACTACTCACCAAATTTCACATGCTTCCATCCATGTACTCAAAGAAAAAGAGGTCCCACGAGACTTCAAAGCAAGTTCTTGGCCTCACATGGAGGTGCAGGGTATGCACCGAGATGAGATACATGAAGCGATGTTTTGGAAACCCCAATGAGCCGCAAAATGATAAGTTAGTTCGTAAAAACAAAAAACCAGAGATACCATCTCCGTAGAATACTTGCCGCGTTCGATTAAATAAGAGAGTAAATGCCTCAATCCCGTCGCTGCTGAGGACCCACCACATCCAACCAGCGATTGGCTACCGAACGACGGAGGCGAGTCCGACGCCCCGAGAAATAAGGCCAAGACGGGGAGGGCGGTCTTGACCTCCGGTTGGTGCTAAACAGAATCAAGCTTTTTGATCCTCCATTAACTATGATCTCAACGCCCGCAGACCATGTCATCTCAATTTGAGGCCTCCCTTTTGACTTGAGTTTTTGTTCCATATGTATTCATTCTGAACAGAGTGTTCATGAGTGTCAACCTGCGTTGTTCTGCGTCCATACGCTTGCGTTGATGGTGATATTGGCTGCAAAGGTGTAACATATCCCAACAGCCTCGGAATGCATACCAGAAGCTTCTACTTGCTGCATCGGCATATCATAAATACATCTTGCGTGACCCCACAGCACTTGACTTTTCTTTGTCTAGTAGTATGACTGTTTCAGGCATGCCGAAGGGGGCAGGGCAACAAATTGCTCAGTATAAATTGTCTAGATCGCTTTTCCTTCCCTTCTCACCTTTTTAACCGTAACCTTATTCCGTACAACGACTGTGGCTTTCGTCACTCATCTCGCCCAACATGCTGCGCCCTCCGATCAACTTTCTCACACTACACTGTGATGCTACCCACTTCCGCGTGCAGTCTCTACCATGTGATAGCTAATCTCTGATTTGCCGTAGATGCGTATATCATCTTAATGGGCTTGATAGCTATCCCTATTCTGTACCCTTACGGAAACATGCCCGCCATCGATGCTTGGTTCTTTGGTGCCAGTGCGTCCACGGAGTCTGGCTTGAACACGTGCGTCATGCACTCTTCACCGTGACGATTTCTGACTTGTTTGGTAGTATCGACGTCAAGGACCTCAAGACATATCAGCAGCTGTACATTTACTTCATTCCTATTTTGACCAACTTAGGCTTCATAAATATCGTGGTAGTTATCGTGCGTCTCTTTTGGTTCAAGAGACATTTGAAGCGTCTTGGTGAGTAATCTGCAAATCAACCCAATCGTCATCCCAGGCTTATCACAGAAATCTGCAGCTCCTCAAATGCTCGGCAACAGCACAGGCATAACCGATGTCGACGTTGAAAGTGCTCACCATGAGCCGAAGGCCCTTGCGGATGCAACTGAAAACTCTGCTGAAGCGACTGATGAGCCAAATGGCAAGGCTAAAGCGACAGATGACCACATCGAAGAGGATGCGACAATACCTAGTGAAGACAGGCGAGTGGCCCGCACCATGACAATCACTTTTGATCCTTCCACCGAAAGACACAAGGATGACGATACACTCTATATCCCCGGACCACGAGCTCGCGATCGCGGTGAGTTTACTCTGAAACGCCTGAGATGAGTACTGATAGATCGGCCAAGGGTATCCAATCGCTCCCAGAGCGGTGCGGCATCCGGAAGACAGTGATGATGGTGAGGAACTCTACCGTAAAGCATCTGCTCTTTTACTGATCGGCCATAGACGATGCAATCAAACCTGTACCCAACAGAAATCAGAATGATGGAAGCTCCTCCATGCGTCGCCGTCGACGCTTCAGCAGCGATGATGGTCTAAAAGTCACAGCCTCGCGCTCCATGGATCGGGTTGCGGGCGTAGCAGCCTCCTTCCTGGTTCTGGGATCACAGACCGCGCCTCAGCCACGGCCCATGTCTTCAGACTCAAACCGACAGCCTGCCATCAACGACGTCCCTTTCCTCTCGCACCAAGCTACGCTCGGACGGAACTCGCAGTTCAAGAACCTCACATCCCATGATCGAGAGATCCTCGGTGGTATCGAGTATAGAAGTCTGAAGCTGTTGCTAAAGATCGTCGTGGGTAAGTTCTCGCGTTTCGAGTCGGCAAGAGGTGCATGACGGCTAAAACTGTCTACAGTTTACTTCTTTGGTCTTCATATCTTTGGTGCGGTTTGTCTCGTCGGCTGGATCCATACTGCTGATAAGCAATACGCGGATATCTTACAGTCAAGCGCACAGGATAAGACGTGGTGGTAAGTATCCAGAGACCTGTACGTTACGAATCAGCTGACCAGATTCACTTCACACAGGGGCATCTACTCCGCTCAGACAATGTATGATAACTTGGGTTTTACTCTCACGCCGGACTCCATGATCTCATTCCGTACTGCCAAGTGGCCCATGATCCTGATGAGCTTCCTCGCATTCGCCGGGAACACGCTCTATCCCGTCTTTCTGCGCCTGAGCATCTGGATCATGTCAAAGCTTGTACCAAAGACCTCACCTACACAAGAGTCCCTCGCATTCTTGCTCACCTATCCCCGTCGATGCTACACGTTGCTCTTCCCTAGCGGTCCCACGTGGATCCTCTTCGGTATCATCTTCGCTCTCAACTTCATCGACATCCTTCTCATAATAGTTCTCGACCTCTCCAATCCCGAAGTTGCTTCTCTTCCGCTTTCTCAGCGCATCCCAGCCGCCATCTTTCAGGCTGCTTCAGCACGCCATACTGGTACCGCTAGCTTCAATCTTGCAAACGTCAGCCCGGCTGTGCAGCTTAGCTTGTTGATCATGATGTACATCGCTGTTTTCCCCATCGCGATCAGTATTCGTGCGTCAAATGCTTATGAGGAGAAGTCCCTTGGTCTTTGGGAAGAAGAGAAGTCTCTGGACGAGAAGCACAGCAAGACTTATCTCTTGACGCATATGAAGAACCAGCTTGGCTTCGACCTTTGGTATATCTTCTTGGGTACTTTTTGTATCTGTATTTCTGAGTCGACAAGGATAGCGGATGTCAATGATCCTGTAAGTGCACTTCTAAGTATCATAGCAAGTATATGATCTGACGTGAATCTTAGGCTTTCTCGGTATTTTCGGTCCTATTTGAAGTTACTTCTGCATAGTAAGTGTTGCGTTGGTGGGATCGGTATGAGACACGAGCTAACCCTCTGGCCAGCGGAAATGTTGGGCTGAGTCTTGGGTACCCAACAGTGAGCACTTCACTATGTGGCATGTTTGGAACCTTTGGAAAAGCAGTCATTTGTCTGATGATGATTCGAGGACGTCACCGTGGACTACCATACGCGCTCGATCGTGCCATAATGCTCCCCACCGGGCAGATTGCCGAGAACTGAATGGTAGTTGACAGGATATAGAGACTCTAGTAGGCAGTCGTTGCTGTCCAGGATTTAGGCGACATCCTTCTAGGGGCTATTCTAACGATACGACTCTCCTTTTTGTATAGGACTCTCTTATTGCGAGGCAATGGTAAATAGAAAATGGCGCAATATCTCATCAAACACAATTGGTGATGTCGGTGAAATTCGGATCAAGACCTTGGAGAAAGCTTGAAGTAGTACCGTTCCCATGATGAGGAACAAACCAAGTACGGAGAAAATACTGGGATATAATAAATGCATTATGGAGACCATACGACTTGCTCTAGTTAATTGCCATTTCAGGACCGGAGTCGAGGGATCGAACAGAGGTTTCGTTTCATTGAACATCCAGCGTGTTCATTCGCGCGCTCGGAAAAGGAGCTTTGCCATTGGTCCATTTCCGCCGGCACAGTCAGACCTGATCCTTCAGAGTCATAGAACAAAGAGCTTATCAAAGCGAGGATCAGCTTGAGATTCCTTTCATTCAAAACTTCGTTTCGGTGGATACCTCGGATTCTCGGGTTTCTGGCTGGTTCAGGATCGATCGGTGAAAACCCTTCGCCCCAAGGTCCAGTTCTTTAAGCAACTCAACCCTTCGAACGCGGACATTTTCCCCCTTTGTGTCGCGAGATAACATGGGACCGGTTACACTTGGAAACAAGTCGCTATCTAGTGCTTACCTTACAGAACTTGCCGGCATGAATCACTCGATAGTTGTAACTACGCTATCTCGATCGAGGTCGATCGCAAACAGGATTAGATCCTCCGGTCACCTAATAAAGGGCCAGTCTTCGTCTTTACCAGCATGCCCACCACGGTCGGCATATAATCTCACTCCTTCCTTCTACATCCAAGGAACGCCAAGGTCCACAAGTACTTAAGTTCTCACCACGATGGCGAACAACACCATTTTCATGTCTCCTGAAGAGTCGGAGCGAATCCAACGCACAATCAAAGATCTTGCAAGGCTGCGTGAACAACAGACAGGCCATTCGAGGGAACCTACAGATCCCAAATCCTTGATCGAGCAAGCTATCTCTACGTCTCTGATGCAAGAGATGTCTTCTGCAGCCTTCGGTCTTGGTGCGCCAAGGAGATCTCGAGAGACGATGGCGGCTTACGGCATAGGCAAGCAATACCCCCCTAGTACAGCCAAACTTGCAGATCTACAGCCAATATCCATCAAGGATCTGAGAATGGAAATGCACCATAGGGGCTTCTTCCTTGCCTTGCGCCGTGTCTCACCCGTTTGCATACTTCAGGCATCCTCCTGGACCGTCGTCAAAGGCCAGTCATCTGACGAGGTGGAGCGGCTGGAGGTCTTGCTTCATACATCGCAGTACGGCGACAATGCCTTGGAGGTAGCTTCTGACCTGGTAATTAAAGAGCCTTACTATACGCTCAACGCCCAGGGGGAATGCACCATTCGAATAGATCATCCATCAGACCTAATAATTACTGCAATCGCCGAAAATCCAGAATCATGGCGTGACAAGGAACATGACTCTGGAAGACCGGATCTCGTGTCTCCAAGCGATTACAAGAGCAAGGGAAACGACGCACTTCTCAAGAAGAAGAACTATGCCCAAGCCTACTTTTGGTATAAGGAGGGTCTGAAGCTTTTGGAGAGTGAAAGAGGTTGCGATTCTGTACGAAAAGACCTATACCGTAACCGAGCTCATGTCAATATTCAACTTCAGAGATTCGATGAAGCAATATCGGATGCCTTGAACTCTCTTACTTGTGGTGAGACTAAAGATCTCAAGTCTCTTGACGCCAAAGCATATAATCGCGCAGGTATTGCGGCATACTCTCAAGGAGAATACCTCAAGGCTCGACACTACTTTGAGCAGCAAGAGAGACTGCAACCAAATGATCAGCAACCCAAGCTACATGTACGAAGAGTCAATGCAAGACTGAGAGAGGAGGCCGAGGGCACTTTCAATATGAGGAAGGTCGTGAGCAAACTACCAAAAACGGGAGGCAGACCCGATACAGCCTCATATTGCGGTCCAACAGAGATAAAAAACAGCCCTGGAGCTGGCCGTGGTCTTTTTGCAACCAGAAACATCGAACCAAACGAGATCATCATGTGCGAGAAAGCATTTTGTGCAGCCTGGAGTCATGAGACTGAAACGTTCACGGCATTGGCTTGTGATCTTCGAGAAGACGCTGCCATCAAGGTCTTTCCCGCGGGTTTGCATAAAGCTGTTGTGAGGAAGCTTCTCAACAATCCACCACAGGTCGAGAAAGTCCTCAGTCTCCATGGAGACCACCGTGGACTTGGGGCAAAGTTGCATGAAGTCGACGGTTCACCTGTAGTCGACACGTTTCAGGTTCACGATATCATCCAACGCAACGCCTTCGGCTTGGGTCAGCAAACAGAGGATGAAGATGTCAGCAACGCCAGTACTGGCCTTTGGATACGGGCATCGTACATCAACCATTCGTGTATCTCCAACACAAAGAAGGATTTCGTTGGTGATCTCATCATCTTTCGCGCCATCAGAAGAATTGCAGCTGGTGAAGAGCTCACTCATGCTTATGATGAATCAAGTGACTATGAAGCAAGAAAGGCAAACATTCGGAGGACATGGAATTTTGAATGTCGCTGTCAGCTTTGCCTTGTGGAGGGAGCAGAGAGTGAAGATGTCAGGAAACGAAGGCGGCAGACTGAGGAGAAGGCAAACACTTTTGCAGAAGCAAACAGCCCCCATGGTGCAAGTAGGATCACAGTGAGAAAGGGAAAGATGCTGCGTCAGACACTGAACGAGACGTATGATGAGAAACGCTATAAGGGGCTACCTCGTCGTGCACTTGCGGCGATAGACGAGTGGCTTCTGTCGGCCACAGCCAGTTAGCAGTGCTTACCAAAAGGGGACTATTAAACAATATATCAATACATGCCATTACCAGGTTATAGTTGTGTTTTTTGAAAGAAGCTTACTACACTATTCCAAATAGTCTAGCTCACGAAGTCGCTTTAGATATCCTATCTTCAAAAGGTCATTTCCATTACATATGTACAGCCACCAATTACCTTTCAGTCACAGGGTGAAGTTGGTTGACACTAAACCATCGAAACCATGGATAATTTTTAGCTTCTACGGCGCCCGCCACTATCGCATCATCATTGCCCTGCTCAGCGTAGTCTGGGTCCTTGAAAGGATCGAAATGGTATGGCTCTCTTGCTACCCAGAGTGCTTTGACCTTATAGAAAGGTCCCCAGACATGCTGGTATCGACTATGAAGCTTCTCGGCACCATGCAAACGTATCAATACAGACATCGGAAGACCGATAGCCCATCGGAATCGAAGCTTGAAGAACCATATTGCAAACTTGTTCCCGTGATTGAAACACATCCATCTGACGGTTTTGGCGTTTTTTTGGTAGTGCTGAATTATGACTGGGTTGTAGCGAAATGCGATAGCTGCATGCCTCAGAGTGTGTTCCATGAGCTCGAGGGCTTCAACCCAGCGGAACTCCTGGCACAGAAGCCAAACACCATTCTGCATGGCCTTTATCGTACCATTGTTGTAGTTACCTACGGTAAACTGATAGCTTTCGATCACCTCCTTGTGAAATAACCTGGGGTGACTTCGACGCAAAAACCACCAGAAGACGTTTGGGGCCTGGCGAAGATTCCGCTGCGCGAGAAGGGCTAGCCCGTGACTCGAAGACCAGGAGGAGGTCGCGATCCTTTCAAGGCGTTCGAAAAATTGTCTTGATTCTTTTTTCTTTCCACGAATGCCTAGCAGTGAAGCAAGAAGTGCCATTTGCTCCAGTGCTAGCGGATGTTCCTCTCCGAGAAGCCTTGTTAGGTCTCTCAAGCTTTCCCTTCTAAGGTCTTCCGCCTCGCCGAGCTTTGATTTTGATTCGCAGGCGTTTGCGAGTAGTGATTTTGCTCCAGCACGCATGGTCAAGAACTGTGGTGTATTTCTTCTATCGGTGAGATCGGACTTCTGATCTAAGATCTGCAAAAACTTGATCGCTGTTTGGTCTGCCTCTTCTACCATACCGCAAGCGTCGTACGCAATGGATAACATATACGTAGAGTGGCCGAGAGGATCGACCCAATCTTGACAAGAGTTCAGATTGTGGGCTTCTATTGCGGTTTGAAGTGCCGACCTTTGCTCGTTCACTATTTCCAAGGAAAAGATTGTGGAAAGGAGACTCCTGATGACCCAGTGCTTGGGGCCCAAAGCTGCTTTCCAGTCGCTTAGCTCGTTCCTCATGACCTCAATGACCTTTCGAAGGGGTCGCCTTCCGAGATAGTACGAAACGTTGTAAGAAGTCATTTGGACGTCAGAGGAGGATTGCTTTGACCAAGAAGTCCAGGGCAAGTATCCTAGGCTTGGACGGCTTCGAAGAGCGTCAAGCTCGCCAGCAAATATGGAATGAAGTCCACTCTTTTCCAGCCAGTCAGTCGACAATGCTTCACTCCGCCGCGTACCAAACCCGATATAGTAGCAGTGCGCCAATTCTATACAATGGCAGTTCCAGTGGTAATCTCTGACACTTCTTCGAGCCACTTCACGTTCGCGTATACAGTTAAAAAGTGCTTCTCTGATTTTGGGATCCACCTCGTTCAAAGACTGCATCGCTGTACATATCTTAGCTATAGGTCAGTTATCTCTAGACGATAGAATAAGCAATCATGGCAGAGATAGCTGGTAGTCTTACGTTGATAGCTGGGAAAGTCATTTCCGAGTTCATGAAGCCATTATACATGTCAGTGTTGTCGAAAATCGTGTAGTGTGCAGATATCAACGGTATGTTCGTATCGAAGAAGGGTAACTCCGCTCTTAATGCTTCTTGGAGGTGCTTCAGGATTGTTGTTGCACTACCAGCCCGAGCCTCGACATCTAGTGTTAAGCTAGAATGGAAGACCTTAGCTAACGACGCCCTGGCTTCATGTGTATGACAAGTCCTAGAGATCAATTGATTCTGGGCCAGGTGCAACAGGGGTTCATTCGGCACATCTCGCCGGCCACTCGGGAAGTTGCCGCTTGGGTTATCGGGGAGGTTATAGAGGAGCAACCACAAACAACAGGCTCCCAGAGAATAGACCATGGCCTTGGCTGCGGCCTGGAATTTGAACCCTCGGGAATGATATTCGGGCGGAGGTATGGACCATGGCTTTGACTCAGGAAGATATATCAGACCGCCATCCCATTTCGTCCCTTTGGTGTAGTTCATGTCAGTGGCGTGACCGAAGTCAGTGATTCTTATGACTAAAGCGCCATTGTGTGCCTCTTCCTCGTAAACAAGAATGTTCTTTGGCTTCAAGTCACCATGTATACAAGCTAATGGTATGCTGTCAGAATGGAAAGAACTTGGAGAGAGCAGTGTTAATATCGAGGAGTCAAAATTGAAAACTCACACATGTCCTCGAGGTCAGCCATTGCTATGGCAATCTGGCAGCAGAGAGCGAGTCGCTCAGCAGGCAACATAGAAACACCGCGCTCTGAGGCCATAAATGTCTCAAGGTCTCCGAGGCGGGCCTTATGAAAAACAAAGATCGGAGAAATCGAATTGTCGGCCTCGGCGACATCCCAGCTCAAGCCTTCCAAGGTGGCGATGAAGGGATGGAGTCGAATTCTCGGAATGGACAGAATTTGCAACTCTTTCCAAAAACGAGCCAGATTCCGAGGATCAGATGGTTTGTAAGCTAGTTCCATCCTTGGATTGACATAGCTTTGCTGGATTGTAGCCGTGAGCCCGATACCCAAACTTTGGAGAGCGCTCTGTGGTGTGACCGGCAAGAAGTCCACAGACCGACCCTGAGCCCAGGCGACGATCCAGTAGAGAATCTCCGAGCGGTCCCAGTCGAAGACGGGAGCTTCTGCTGACAGTGTAGTGGTGGGAAGGTCATTCAAGCTGAAGGAGTCGTCTGTGCGACTCATGGTTGAAGATGGAAGCTCTTTGTAACGGTCTTCCTCGGAGAGACTTTGAACCAGATACGCGCTCGTGATCAGTTGTTGGGCCTTGAAACTGCCACGTCATTTGTCTGTGCGCCGCCACGGCGCCTAATATTCTGTCAGCCTGGCCCTATTTAATTACGAGAAGAGCACTCCTGGCCTCCCTGTAAATTAGAGCTAGCAAGGTTCACGGGCTTTTTGTCTCCTTAGCGAGAGGATTGACTCGTTTTAATATATAGCGATACAAGGTAAAAGATTGATAATGCCCACCAGCCAAAGTCACTCCGCTACACTTCCCCATCAAAGAGATAATGAGAATGCATGTTTGAGTAAATAACATGGTATGTCTGCTTTCGCGAATCTTCTAAGAACCAAAGATCGCAATCTATCAGCCTCAGAGTATGTGCAAGCGGCCCACGACCATCTCTTCCAAGCTCTGGGATCGAGACCCCTGATGAGGAGTTGATACAGGTTCACCCTCAACGCACCAGCGCACAGCTTCCATATAATTGGATCCCATAGTCATCTCGAGCTGTTGAACATACTTTTGAATGATACTCCGTCTGAAAGCCTCGTCATCCATGCCTTTGAACCCCTTCCCTAGCCGACTTAATGTAGACCATAGACCTATCTCAAGCAAAACCATACCTAAAGAATAGCAATCAAACTCCGCCCGATAGCGTGCTCCACCAAGATAAGACGGATGTTGGTAATTGCGAAGCTGCGCCTCTTCATCATGGCCTTGCGTGAAAGAATCGTGGGTGTCCTCCCTGCTAGCACCGAGGCCAATAAGTCGCATGTTCTGGGCAGCCTCAGCGTCTCTGACACCAGGCGGTGAAAGGCAAATAACGTTCATGGAGTGGATGTTTCGGTGCAGCCAGTTGATCTTGTGGAGTGCTTGAACAGATCGACACAAATCTGACGCGAGCCTAAAGCGATATTCTAGTGGCGGTCTGAAACGAGGCTTCTTCTTCTCAGGCACCATCTCGTCGATCAGCTGGTAAAGCGTCCGAGGCGTTTGATCAGTCGTAGGGATTAGATAGACTAAGCCGAAGCAGTTTCTTGCAGGTTCATGGAAGTATCCTTGGCACTGCAATGTGCCCGTAAGACTTTGTATGGTCTGGTCGCTGAGTAAACTTGCCATTGTCGACAAGCGCTTTAGTAGTCGCGAAGAAACTGATTTGTCGGCCCAGGATCCATCGTATCTGAGCCATTCAACTATAACTTCCTTGTAGTCTCCTTGAAGTCTCGCAAGGGAATGAATTCCTAGGTCTGCTCGGATTGTGACCGCTGCTTCTTCTAGCACCAGAGCCTTGTGGTCTGTCAGATTACCTTGGTCGGCAAGGACTATGAGACGCTGCATGGCTATCAAAGTCCCAACGTCGTGTTCGGGACCCTCTTTGAAGGCAGTGGACATATTGCCCAGTTCGTTCATATCCGATATTTGGAGAACTTGGTCTACCAGATGCTTTTTAAACTCAGCTTTGTACTCGAAAGGAAGTGCTTGGACCAGAGACGTATTCAGCTTGCTTATCGCGCGTAGCAAAGGAATGCTTGTTGTGTTGTCGCAGCCTCGAATGGAGTTCAGAATGTCCTGCTCTCCTTTCAATGTCTTCTGGATCGACTTGAAATCAATGCCTGGGTCATCAAGAGTACTGGGTAGTTGCGCCAACGTATATGACCAGCTTGTGAAGCGATAGCTCTCCAACGTGCAAAGTTTGCTTGAGGGCATGCTGCTGCAAACCCCCCCCCAACTACGGGACAAATGTTCAGACAGAGCAATTGTAGCAAGCCAAGACATTGCTTGCAGCACCTCGCCCGACTTCGGTCGTTTTTTGGGGTCCAATGTCAAAATCAAGCGGATGAGCTTGATTAAGTGCCCAGTCCATGATTCATGGGATCCCTTTTCCTCAAGATACCGAAGCCACTCACTGACAGCTGGGTTAGGCTTCCCTGACCCAACGTGAAATCTTGACCATTCGATCCCTTCTGTAAATAATATGACTCGCTTTTTGCGGAACTGGTGGACACCGGGAGAGCCACATATAAGAAAAGTCAAGACTTCACTCAGAATACAGCCAAAAGACCAGATATCACTGGCTCTACCCACCTTGTGGGATTTGACACGCCCATCAATGGAGCTTTGACACTCCGGTGCTATATAAGAGCCTCTCGTTTCTTTGAACAATGTTAGAGAGTCCTCGTCGGGGTTTCTGAAGGTTGAAAGACCAAAATCGATTAGCACCAGTGTCTCGCCTTGGATGAGAATATTTTGGGGCTTCAGATCATGATGGCAACCAGTTAACTCAAGATCCAATGTGTCTGAAACGAAGTTATGGACAGCGTCAATGGCTGATGCCAGGTCTGCAAGCCCCCACAGAACCTGATGTGCCTCGAGATGTGGTCCTTCATAACGACCGTCAAGGAGTCCTGCCAAAGACCCCCCTTCTGCCACTTCGAAGATGAAGTTGCAGCGCTTTGAAGGCATGTCTTGAACATAGGAGCAGAAGAGCTTGACGATATTAGGATGCTTGAGATGTGCGAGAAGAGCGACGTTCTTGAGTTCGCGCATGAAAGACTGAATATCTTCGTCTGCGCTCTGTTTGAGCTCCTTCCGAACCACCTGTCAGGGAACCAGGTCAGCCTCAACTACACTACTCATAACATCAGAGGAGAATACCTGGTGCTTGATGATAGGCAGTTCGTGGCACTCAGGATGGAGGTCAACGAGATAGGCATCACCCATGGCTCCAGAACCGAGTAGCTTTTCGCGGACATACGGTAATACTGTGGATTTGTCTAGTTCCCTTAGAATAGATTGTGATCTCAGGACTGGTACCATGAAGCACCACTGCATATTCATGAATCTTTTGATAAAAGCTGGGGAGATGTCAGTCCCAAGCGCTCGCTGTAGAGGCTCTGTAGTGTAGGGAAATCTATCGTCAGGATTGGATTTCTGCATCAGGTCATGTTTGAAGAAACCAGTAATTCTCTCTCCGCCATTGAGAAGGAGTAGAATTGAAAAGCACCTCCGGGCTCCGTGCGTAATAGCGTGCACCAGCTCTTCTCTCTCATGATCTGCGATATTCATTTCTCGGAGGCATGCCCGAATCTTGGCCTCGGTCAGAAGGATGAACAACTTGGCTTCAGGCACGAAGTTTCTGCCTAAGCTATTTTCGTTACTTATCCTCAGAATCTCGATCTCATCTCGTAGAGTGTTCATGATGTCGAGTATTCATCGCTTTATGTATTAATACATATGGGGCTAGACAAACAGGCGAACTGCAAGTCAATAGAGCGTGCTGGATTTACTGGTCCTTTGATTGAATGGACTTGATTTCTGACTGGTGAATTATTAGCACGTCGCTGATGGACTCCATCAAAGACTGACCTCCGACAGAAGACTTGGAACAGAAATCTCATAGCTTTCGTCCTCCTCCTATTCAAGGTCAGTAGAGCCACCTAGCGAGACTCTCGCAAGTGATGTGAAGTTATTCACCCTGATCTTAAAGTTGCCTGTACCAAACCTCCCCTCTAACAGGCCTCGAAGGGCCTCTAACTTGATGTATCGATTGGAGATTGACTGTGTCAACATTGAAGTGCTGTAGGAGATGTAAAGAATTGTACATCGGAACCGATTCCCTCAGCCGACTTAAATGCTTTGTGTCTACAGCTAGCGATAACACAAATGTGAGACACAGGCCAATCAAAAGAAATTGTGTTGGGCGCCAGATGCCTTGATTCGTGCTGTACAATCAAAACAGTCCATGCAACTGGTACCCGCAGTTAGGTAGCCAACGATTGTATTGATGCAGTGAGATCAACGATCTTCCTCTGACTGGTGCCCGCAGTTAGGCAGCAAATGTTTTCATTGATGCAGAGACCAATGATCTTGTTGTGACTGGTGCCCGCATAACGAGGCTTGAAACTGACCTGATAAGGCAATGGTCCTGCAGGGTCTAGAATCACCTAGCCACTCGGTGCCCAACGGGGGCAGTGTACAATGTAAATCACATCATGTAATTCACATTGACATTTGATTTATCCATATACCCGTCGAGACCCCGTTTCGCGGTTTGAATATTTATGCGTCTTTGTGTAACCATCACTTTGCTTATCATTACCAACTATATGGCTTGTCCGAATAGGCTAAACAAAGATGAGCAATCCTACAAAAGCCGCGTCTTATGTTCAGTACCCGCTTGACGCCAAGTGCTACGTGCCCCCGGGACAAGACCCGGCCTTGTGTCACGAAATGCTCATACAAAACTCACCAGATTTATTCCAAGTAGCCGGTGGGGGAATGAATATGTATCTTGGTGGTCGTGGCGATAGTAAGCTCCTTTCATCTGTCACTTGCTGCTCTCAACTGGATATTCCGTACCTAATACCGATATTCACTAGGTGTACAGTGCCAGTTCATTTCCAGCGAGGAATTAGAAAACACATTTTGGGGCGGATGGTCAGAAGTTGCGTCTGAAGGGCAGGGCAAGGTATTGTAGGTTATATGCATCCCACGTAGCAACATACACTTACTTAGACAGCTGGGTACAACCTGCATTCTCTTGGGGACAACTTGAGATTACTGAGACTGCGTTTCGAAGGCTTCTGGCCGAGCACCGTGTGTTTACGCCATTCTTGGACATTGTCCACGGATTTGGAGCAAAGATCAGTGACTACCAGCGAGCCCAAGATTTTGTACATTTGCAGCTTCACTCCATGGAGGACTTTGGTCAGTATTTTGAAGACAAAGGTAGTGTAAGATCATTGACTGATGCAAGAATGTACCAGAAATCGCCTATAACATCCGCTACTATGAGCTAAACGGGCGAGGAAGAGGCAATCCATGGTCACTTCGTCAAGCAGGGGTTTACCAGCAGATGCTAACCACTCAATGCGTGTGGATTGTTATAAGCGTCTCCAAATATCTTCAACCACGGTTTGGGCAGTTTTGGGATACTGGTAGTAGCACAGAAGGAGGATGCTGCACGACATTCGTTCTCCTTGGCCACCTCGTCATACTGTCCATGGCTACGAGAAATTGGGGCGCCTACATTGAGTTCATGCGACATAAGTTAATATTTCTGGTACGTAATCACATGAGGCTCAGTGGCAGAATGTCTATGCAAAGACTAACTGTGCATATAGGAACAAAAGATGGCTTCCTCATTTGTAGATGGAAAGTCTTCTAATACTTCGAGTCTCTTGCTCTCAGATGTAGCAAAGGCCAGTGACTTATGTAACACGATAGAAACTTCTAGGGCGATTTTGAAAAGCCAGATAAACATTTTGTCAACGCTTAAGAGACTGCATGTAGGGATCAGCAACAAGACGAACTCCAGCAGCTGCGACGTCGCCAGTGCTTTTCAGCTCAAGCACATGGAGATAAGGAATCATTTGAAAGCTGTGAAAACCATGCAAAAGAGTGCTGAGAGAATTCCTCAGATTGTAAGCTCTCTCTTGCCATGCATGTCTCATAAGAAAGCTGACCATCGACGTAGATGTCAACCATTCTCTCCACTAGGGGGGAGGAAAGGCTTCACGCCACGTTAGCACAAATCCAGACCGGAGTTCATGGAACCCTTTCTACATCCATCCGAGCGCATGATGATGTAAAGGCATTGGTACAAGTCGCTACAAGCGGGCACCAGGATTCGAAGACAATCAAGTTATTAGCTGAGATTGCGACGGTCTTTCTTCCATTGTCTTTTCTAGCAGTAAGACTTTCCCCATGAAAGATGCGAGAAAAGCTTCCAAAGCATCAACTGACCTCTTCACAGGCGATATTTGATAGCGAGATCCTGCATTCTTCATATTTAGGAGGCCTTTACGCTGCTCTTTCAATCCCGCTGGTTCTCGTTGCAGTTATTGTGATTCTACTTTTAGAGCGCAAGGCCACAGAGGTTTAGCTCAAAGGATGACATTCATATCAGGAGTCCCCGATATAGCTTCAGTAGGCAGATCGTGTTATCACAGGCTGTTGAATCAATGTATGAGGCAATTCGCTTCTCAATGTCTGTAAGCGCCAAGCCAACCATGCATTGGACATTTCGTACGCGCAAGCCGAGTATCCCGGTCCACTCACATGTCAGCGCTAAGACTCTCCAGCTACCAGTAAATCCAAAGGAGGGCGCTGATCTGAAATATGCAGGCGACGTGGCGCAATAAGGGACATCGTCTCGTAACCCAAGCCTCTTGTTGAATTCGCCCAGACCAAGGCGTGCATAACCGCTGGGAGAAAAGATGCCGTTTCCGTTCTTGGCCAGGATTTACCCCATAATATGCGGGAGGCCAAGGCGGTAAAATGCGGGCGGGAGTGATCAGATAGCCGACTCCTCCGCATTGTATGATGCTGAGGCTTGTGAGGCCTCTCGTGAAGATAACTTCATCATCCGACTTTGAATCTTGGCACATATGCATGTCTTGGACTGGAACACAGCCTCAGAGAGAAAGAGAAGGAGAGTGCGGGGTTGATGAGGGATGAGTTGTATATAAAGACGCCGTTCTCTGTTCTTCGATAATCCAAAACACTTCACATCATCACTCTACACGCTTCTTCTCTCTCTCCCTACCAATTCCTCTACTCTCAACAACCTTTAAAATGGGCAGACTCGACAACGACAACTGGCTGTACCCTGGCGACAGCCTCACCAGCGACAGCGGCAGCAACGAATTCAGAATGCAAGAAGACGGCAAGATCGCCATCTACTGGGAGGGTGAATTTGTGTGGCAGAACACAGAAGACCAGCGCGACGACATCAAGGGCATCCATCTTCAAGAAGATGGCAACTTTGTCTTGTAGTAAGTATCTCGCCCATGGGAAGCTATTGCAGGAGGTAACAATTAATCTAGTACCCATGACGACGAAGCTGTTTGGGCTTCTGATACTTGTGGCCAGGGCGATGAGGTCTATCTCGTTGTGCAGGACGACGGAAATGTTGTCTTGTATAAGGGCGAGGATGATGAGGCTGAGGCCGTTTGGGCGACTAGCACCAACCAGATTTAAGCATCTCAGGCTGGTTTCTCATCTCTAAGTAAGAATGGATAGGAAGAAATAATGAGACTACTATTGGGCTCTCGTGATTTGACTACGATGTGGCATTTAAAGCCAGTCTGATGCGTAAATGTAACCGTGGCGGAATCTCAGCTGGATACTCCTCATTTTGCACATCGATCAGACATCATTATAAGAGCCACGCCCGGTTAGCTCAATCGGTAGAGCGTGAGACTCTTACGAGTACGCGATCTCAAGGTTGCGGGTTCGACCCCCGCATCGGGCTGTTCCTATATTCGATTGCGAGCGTTAGCGAGGCTTTCATTTTTGCATTTCTATCCTTCAGTACCTCCATTCTTCTATCCATTTATCCGACGTGCGTTGGTGACATTCAATGGAAGAATAAAGTTATGGATGCGTAATACTTCAATTACTTTGAGTTTGTCTTTTTCCTTGGAACCGATTTTAAGTTTATGCTCCGCGGACCCCGCTTTAGTTCTATGAGGCTGTCCTGGCTGTGATGTTGCCATTTCCGAAGCGGCGTTATCATTTCATCTTTATGCAGATCAACATAACGCCCAAGGTTAACCATGCGCATCGAAAAGCATCCTTTATCTCCGCCTACTTTGGAGGAGTTGGCAGCTAAACTTCAGGCCCCCTTGGCAGCCAATTATGAACACTCCACAGTGAGTGTCGTGGCTTGCCCGGATCTTCGGCAAGCGCCCTATCATCTAGCTACCCAGGGGTTATCAGGGGATGAGAAGATAGCAGATGTAGGAGGTCAACCGAATTTGTTCCCGCGTCCAAAGATGGATTGCGTTTGGTCCATGGCTGAGCTTGCGGAGGCTATGGACATGGATCCCGCGAAGGGGGGATTACTCGGTGCTGGAGCTGGACCGCATCCTGTCGTTGGGCAGAACTGTGAGCTTGCGCCAAATATTAGTTGGGAAGGCAGCTTTGAGAACGTCAAGAATGAGAGTCGCTATGCAAAAATCGACAAGGAGACAAGCGCTGTCCAAGTCCACAAGAGTCCTTCTTTGGACTGCGCCTTGATGATCAACCTATTCGGCTCCTCAGGCAATCCAGGTCCAGTAATCAAGATCACAGCTCGGAAGAGAACAGCCTCTGAAAGAAGTTTTGCGGAGTGTATCCGAAAGGGTCTTCATGAAGCGTACGGCGACTCGCAGACCGTCAGTCTCGGTGGACTCTTCTTGGTCAAGAAAGGCAAGGCAAAATACCATATCATGCCTGACTTCCCAGCCGAGAAAGACTTGCCATTTTATCATCGTAAAGATGTGGATAAATGGTTGACCTTCCACGACTTTGGCGCACCAATGCTTTGTTTATCCGTGTTGCATTCGGCTGATCATGGAGGAAAAATGGGTTTGCGGATTGAGCATACGCATTGCTACGCTGTAGACGGGAATAATGCTGGAGGTCATTATCATTATGATTTGGATGATACGGAGGATGATGTTGAGTATGAGGCGTATTTCAATACTGCCAAAATGATATATCGACTGGACAGGCCAAATTGATCTGGCGAGCTTACCCTGGACTTGTCACGAATTTTATACTCTGGCGCCCTGTCCTCTCCCAAGGGACCCCGGGAAATGTTAGTAAACTATGAAGGAGATTATATAAAAGAAATTAAATTAAATTTTTCTCGTTGCGCTTGCTTATAGAAGCCAAATGACATGGAATCGCTATGAATAACATCATGCAGCGCACAAACAATCTCCATTTTCTGGAATTGTCCTGTCACTCTCATCCAATCATAAGTCGTTGCGGGCGAATGGTTTAGTGGTATAATACTCCCTTAGCATGTTCTCTTCCAAGAGATGTCCTTCTGGGAGTGGTCCAGGGTTCGATTCCCTGTTCGTCCAAGATAGGTGGTTTAAATCCACCATTATCCGCTTCTTTTTTCCCCATTCATCTTTTTACCCTTCATCCTGACTATCAATGTCATGATCTGATGTGATGATCTGATCATGGATGAGTACAATAGCTGAATCCTTTTACCCGGGCGCTGCAAGCGAGTTCTTCCCCAGATTGGATACCCTGTCATTGAATGGCACGTTTTCAACTCGTGATGCTCGTATACGAACTGCTGACAGTTTTAGTCAGAACACCACGGAAACAATCCGTGCTTTCTCGTATCCTGCCTTATGAGACTGCAAGTCACAAATGCTAAGTGGAATAAAAATAAAAATAAAAATAAAGCTCACCCTGGTCCCAGTCTCGTTTTTTTGCCAAGACCCTAAGCAAAACCTTCAAGAAGCTTGCAGCCGCAAGGGGATAGCCGATGCGGCTTGAAAGATACTAGCGCTGACTTTATCGTGTTCGAAATGTCCGGTTGCGACGTTGACAGGTGCTGCAAGAGGCAATCCCCGGTCTGTCAGATCTGAAGAACAACGTTGCAGAATGTTGGATGTCGTGACTGCATCATTGAAGGCTGAGCATGATTCTTGAGAGATAAGGAAGGGTCTTGAAGAAGCGGCTGTCATTCTGTATTGGGTATTAGACGAAGCCCATGGTCAATAGTCAACGGTGGCTAGCGTTCAAGTGGCACGATCAAGTCCGTATCTGAAAGTGACGGAACCAACACCGTTGCCAACGTTGCAGCTATTTTAGGTCATCAATTCGTGAGATTGGAGGCGTATGCCAACAGCTGAGATAAGAATCGAAGCACTGGATGCACGTCATTGAGCCAGAAGATTACGGCGTGTTATTTCCACATATTGTACATCTTCAATACGGCGCAAGCCAGCAAGATACAGGCGCAAATGTTTTGTCCGACACATCGTCACGTCCATGTCACAAATCGTGTGTCGCCAAGAGAAATAGGCGCATTGGCTCGCTTCCATATCACATTACTCACAGAAACTCCGCCCCCGTCCAATCTATTACCTCTGCCTGGTTTCAAGGATACGTCTCACCAGCCGTATTGTGCGACATTTTGTTCCACGCAATCAAAGCAAAGGGGGCTTATTTTACTCCTTACAGTAGCAGTACAGTAGATATGACAAGAATTCCGAGTTTCCCACGGCAAGTCGGCAGTTTATAATTGATTGCATGGGGGGTCCCCGCGGATCGCCGTGCCGAAAAGAAAGTGATGTCAATAAAGAGCTTGCGCGGCTTGACTCGCTGGGTGGAGCTGGAATTCGATAGAGGCCATGCTCAGCTGCGTGCTAAACCCTTTTTTGTGGCGTCTGGGAATGTTTCTGGCACGTTGCAATGGCGTTATTCCACTGGACGCGCTTCTATTTTGAGCACCTACAAGTGAAGCTGGGCTTGCATTCCAGCGGCTACAGTAGTTACCGTTTTACCAACCGCCACTGATTAACGCAAGGATAATTAATGCTGTCGCAGTTGTTTTACGGTATGAATCATGTTTCAGATTAAACAGAGGGCGAGATAGGGAGGCTAAGGAGGGGTTTCACTTTTTTACGGCAGATCCAGTAGCAGGGCCGAGAACTGCGGAGACCCGGTTAGATCGGAAGGTACAGGGCACTACAGGCACTACAGGGCAATCCAAGGGAGACAGGGAGAGGGCAGAACTGACAGTGCTTGGCGAAAGCTTGAGTCTTTGACCACGCGGCGTCTAAACAACCTTGACCCAGAACCTTGACTGACCTCCACTATAACCTTGCTTGACCTTGGTGGGTGTTATGACGAAACGGAATACGATGTGGGTTCGTATGACCCAGTCCAACTGTTTCTCTCGTATAACATTCAAGCTTTGGCCGCTTAACTTTCTTCATCTCAACATCACTGCACTGCACTGCGGCTTCATGATACTACCATGCGGTCTCACAACCACTTGCTGCGCGGCGTGCTAACGTTCGTGGCCATCTTGACCTTCTGCATTATTCTCACAACGATATTTCACATCAAAATATCAGACGGTCTCTCACTCACACCAGTCCAAGAACGGCCTTTCTTTTATGAGGAGCAACCCCCACCTGAAGACTCCAAACCCCCAAAGAAGACGTCACCAAAGGAGCCTTTCCATCGACGACCTCAACACAAGGACGATGGCGATAAGAAGAAGGATCAATCGAATACTCAAGATGACTACTACGATCTCCGCCTCGACCGTGGTGACGATGCTGAGGATAAGCCATACGTCGACTACCATCTCTTGACCAGTCTACGGAACAACATGGGCTTTTACAACAAGATCGATGCGAGAAAGACTGGACACAAGCTTTTCAATCCAACGATACTCGAACTGCCTCGTGATGCTAATACTACCCATGACTTTCTCGTCATCGCGCGCACGACCCATGTCGCAAAGGAAATCAACGGCAAGAAGTACAAAATCGCCCGTCAAGTCGCTACCTTTGCGAACCTCACCACCAACTACCTTGACCGACCTGTCATCCGAACCGGCGAATGGTCTACAATGCTGCTGGAAGACTTTGGCGGACCTGAACATCACTGCAAGAGACAGCCCGACATGGATAAGTATGTCGGCCCAGAAGACATGAAGCTATTCTGGACGCGCGCCGGCGAGCCTCTTCTCATTTTCACTCACCAAGTCAACGACGAGACAATGTGTCAAGGCCAGTTCCTCATTGACGTGCGCGCCGCCCTCCCTGAGCTTGAACAAGTCCTCGGTCCAGACTTTGCAGCACGTCTACCCTCAATCCGCTTCGCCGAACCAACACTCCTCGCTCGCGAACCAGCACCAGGCGAAGAAAACCACCCTCGATACCAGCGCGAGAAGAACTGGGCGCTAGCTCAGTCCCCCTTCAGTCCAGACTCCGAACTTTTGATGATGGTGGAGCCGGGACAGTTATTCCGTTGGAAATCCGCCGAGGAGCCCGTCGAGCCCATCGTTGCGGCTGACGACCAGGAGTCGGCCGTTGAAGAACCATACCCACCGACGGCGAAGCCGGGAAAGACTTGGCACGGCAAGAAGAGAAAGACATGCATCCACGATGTCATGCTCGACGATAGCCACGTCCACCAGAGCTCGCCTATGCTGAGTGTCACAATGTGCAACCGCGGAGCATGCGAACCCGATGAGCAAAACACCGTTCTCATGGGCATCGTGCAGCGCCGACAAGACTTCCCTGGCGCTTCGTTTACATGGTATGACCGTCGGATAGCAGTGTACGAATCAGCAGCGCCGTACCGCATGATCAGCGTCGGCAAGAAGCTCACGTACCACGGAGAATCGGACCTCAGCTATTCCTGGACGGGCTCCATGTCGTACTACACAAACCAGACCGAGTTCCCGCCGTCGAACCACGGATATCTCGACGATGAGGTATGGCTGGGCTTTGGCGTCAAGGATGCAGCCGCTGGGTGGCTGGACGTCCGGGCCAAGGATCTCATTGCAGATCATTACATGTGTCAGGGGGCATCGGTGGAATACAAGTATTATAGACAGGGTATTTCGGCATAGCGCGGTGTGTATTTTTTAGGTTGGCGTTAGTGGCGGACTAGACTACAGATACTGCTTCTCTTTGTTCTTTTGACCAGAGATAATTCGATACCAAATTTTATTATTGTGATAATCATGAATATTCTGTGTCGGTTGTTTGATGTTTGTCAGACTATTGATGGACAGATTTTGTTAGTGTCGGTCAACTGCCGAAACAGGTTTAGACGCAAGGGGTAAACGAAGCGGTAGTTGATGCAAATACGAGAATTTCAAATGGAGATGGCTCAAAGAATGATATGATGTGTTTTGCGTTTAGCAAAAATAGCAATCAATAGTCGCTGTCAAACGAGTCAGACGTTGACCGTCAGTTCAAAGTGAAGGGGTTGGTCCAGATCTGTCACATCACATCGCAACAACTGACAGCAGAACTACGGTACGGTCACGTCACAAATGATCATCCATTTAGTGAACCCAAAACCTGGTATAAACTGGAGCACGATTATACTTCTCGAACTTGATTGAATGCGTTAGTGAATCCAGCCGCTGATCCGGCATCTCGGCCAAATATGGAGAAAAGACCTGAGATCGACCCACGGATACACGGCAAAATGTTGTCGCGTCTTCATCAAAGATGTCGGCTAAAACGGCTCGGACCAACCAATGGACAGATGTTTCAGAACACGAGAAGCGCATAAATTTCGTCTCGCATATATATTACAAGGGAGAAGGAAATGATGGGATTTCGTTACGCTTCTTGTTACGAATGAACGATGCAGGGGTTGGACGCTGAACATTTTATTGAAACCAACAGAGTTTATATCACAATCCAGTCCTGAAACTCTATTCCCTTGCGTAATACTCAGAGATGTGATTAGGATTTGTTGGGGGCTTTGATGTCTTCCACGTCCTCGTCATCGATTCGTTTTGCACTACGTGCTGCAATGCCGACGTCTTCGACGTTGGAAAAGTCTGCGATACCAAAGACTTCATCCATGCGTTCCAGTGAGATCTGTGAATCGTTCGAGTCAGAGTTTGGGTAAGTATGTGCAGGGAGGAGGGACTTACGCCCTTGGTCTCTGGAATCCAGTATGCAGCAATCGCCATGAACAGATTGAACGATCCAAAGATGAAGTATGCTCTCCATGGATCGTGCAGAAGCATGACTGGCGTTGACTTTGATACTGCAAGGTTATGCACCCAGTGAGTGAAAGATGCGAGGGCAACGTTGTATGCACGGAGTCGATTTGTTGGAATTTCAGAGACATAGATCCATGCTACAAGATCAGTACAACTGTCTAGCACCAGGGCCTGAAGAACTCACAAACAGGGCCCCAACTCATGTTGAAAGCCGCAGCAAAGATGTATATCATAGCCAAAGCAGCGATACCCGCGGGAGGAGGATGATCACCCTCTCCAGGCTCAGGACCGAAGCGAAGGTACTAGTAACGTCAGTGGGAGTCAAGTTGTAACAAAGGGGGGAGCAGATCGCGTACAAAACCGACAAAGAACATGCAGAATGCTTGGATCGCACCGCCGAACATGAATGACTTGCGACGGCCGAGGGAATCGGCGAGGAAGAAGATAAAGATCAAGCATGTAACGACTTTGACAACGCCGTAGATCTCGATGATGGATGTTAGCCAGTGATGCGCGAAGAGGCTCTAGACGCTCTTACTCCTTGTGCGAACAGTGCAGTTGTCGTGCTGCTAAGACCTAATCCACTGAAAATCTATCATCGATTAGTGCAAACCTCGGGAACTTTGAAAGTCGACTTACAGTGGGTGCGTAGTAGTTGATAGCACCAGTCTACACTTCATCAGCAACCATCCGTCCAAATCATGTATTTGTAGAAGAAACTCACGCCAGTCCACTGCCCAAGCGTAACAATAGCCACCGTCAAAAGCGCTCTCTTCCTATTCCAAGGCAAAGTCCAACACTCCTTCTGAATCGCCCAAAACCCCGTATCCTGCATGATCTCTCTCTCCTGATCAATCTGCGTCTTCAGCTCCAACAGTTCTTGCTGGATATACGCATGGTCCACAGGTAATTTTCTCACATCTGACAAGACAGCTCCAGCCTCCTCCCACTGATCTCGGGAAGCTAGCCAGCGAGGTGACTCTGGACAGAAGAGCATGCTGAAGAAGAGTAATGCTGGACAGATGGATTGGCACCCTAGGGGAACCATCCATGTTGCTTTGCCGGGGAGATGTAGAAGGGAGCCGTAGTTTATGAAATAGGCTGTCATGCCGCCGAGGACGAGCAGGAGTTGGAAGAAGCCTACGAGAAAACCGCGGATGGCACGCGGTGAGTTTTCGGAGACGTATGTTGGCGCGAGCATTGTTCCTGCGCCGAGACCGAGGCCTTCGGCGAATCTACCGCCATTAATATCTATCCAAGGTGCGACGGTTGATGTCGTGGAACTTACCGTCCAATGTAAAAGACTGAGAGATGACCGTAAGAGAAGGCTTGCATGATACCACCGATGAAACCCGTCACCGCAACAAGAAGCAGCGCTGGCTTTCGGCCCTTACGATCAGCGAATGGACTGGACAGGAGAGCTCCAGCTATAGCACCGGCTTGCATTGTCGTGACGAGGTTTCCTGCTAGATCAGCTGCGTCTTCTTTCGGCCGAGTGTCAAGACCAAACTCCCTGTTAAGCCTGTGTCAGCGGTTCGCATTACAAGGCGCTTTTGAAACGAACCGTTTGAAGTCTGGCATAGCCAGCACGCCACCAATGATACCAGCATCAACTCCAAACAGCGCACCAGCAAAACACGCCTAAAAGTGTCAGTCCCTTATCCCCGGGTAATGCCCGCGGGTGTCTTACCGAAGCTGTCAGAGCGATGACACGCCAGTTGTAAATCTCCGGCGGATCAACACGAATAGCATCATTGCGCACAATGCGCCGAAACATGCCATGTATCGTCATCTTCGCTCACTTTCTTCTCGGATAAAAGATTAAAGAAGGATTGACGATAGAAATTAAGCTTACGAGAGCAACCGTCGTTTTAAGTAGTGGAGACAATAGAGGTCCAACACCCTCTTTCGCGGGAAGGCAAACAAACATAATGCGGGGTGTAGATCATGTCCTGGGGTAGAACTTGTCGGCGGGGAGTCTCGGGCGCGTGATTCGATGGTGGGCTTGGCGAACGACGCGGGGAGTCTCGGGAGGAAGGGTCGGTGATGTATATGAAAGCAGTTATTGCAGAATAGAGGAGGATTGTGCGCTGTTTGCTTGCTTTATTGAGGTCATTGGCTGGTATATGCATTATCTCGGAGCTTTTACGTTGGGGGCTGAAACGGAGGCTGCCTATTGCGGACAAATCACCATGCATGATGTAACCTGTCTCGTATATTCGTTCAGTTCGGTATCTGGACGACCGAGTCTCATTGCAAGATACATTTGATTGTGCATTAAGGGTATCACGAATCATATTCAACGCCGGCCCTATCTTACCAAATCTCGCTGTTACGTCTCCCGACAACGCATCATCACCGATGCTGACTATCCCATAGCGCATCTGGACTCTCCCAAATCTGCTCCAGTTCTGATCTTAATGAGGGTGTAGGCCAACCACATCTCTTTTGACATGTATCCAGCATTTCTACTACACATTTTCGTTCTCGGGGATTTTGCATGAACATTCCGGCTGCACACGCTGTCAGTTACTACAAGTCCGACGATTGCAATGCGGGCCTACCAATGAATAGACATTGCGAGGACAGCATGCTTGATGCATCCTCCGTAAGTGTCATGCCAATACCGCAGACCATCCTTATACTCTCTTGGATCTCCTTCTGGCGCTTGAGAAGGCCTTGGATGCCGTCTAAATGGGGTTCGTGTGCTGTAACGAGGATGCGGGAGCAATGATGAAGCTGCACAGCGAGTCCTGTCGCAATCAGCACCCGACCTGACTTCACAGTTGAGGCTGCTTACCAAAACATTGGGGATGTATCAAATGTGGCTGAAACACTTCACTCTTCCGATTTCCCATGGTTGGCAACGCTGAGAACTCAACTGTCAAATGAGACCGCCACTCATCCAACATCTTCCTCAGTGCCTTCGCCCAGCCAATCCTCCCCGTCAAGCCTTCCACCTCAGCGGATGAATCAACAGCGCAAAAGTTGATTACTTGCGCCATTATCCATACAGCACGAGAGGCTAACTCGTGACTGTCTAGATCTGCGTATCCCTTCTTGGGCATCCATGTACTATACGTTCTCCTCTTCTCACGAAAAGCAACCCAGATATCCTGTCGTAGCCAAGCCCACCACGTCGTACTTTCAAGACTCGATGTCTCAACCTCAATCTGTCGAGATCTCAAGATCCAGAAGACTCCTTGGAGATGCTGTTGCCAATCTTTACGTGACCCTCGTAGCATCTCATACGTTGAGACCATGAGCGTCGTAGCCATGAGTTCCTGGCTATTCTGATACGTCGAATAACGCATCGCTTTCTGAACGTAGTGTAGTGTTTGGTAGTAGTAATGTAGAGCAGTGTTTTGAGACGGACGCTGGTTGGAAGGGATGGTTTGGTCGAGTGATTGGTGGTAGCATGATAATGCGAGGATGGCGTTGAGAAGACCTGCGTTGCGGACTGCTAGATGAGGAACTCGAGTAGAGAATGTCCGAGCCGGGTCGAATAAGTCAAGCTGATAAGAAGTTAGTATGCATGTTCATGTAGAGTGTCATCGACGTACCCATGAACATATGCGATGCAGGAAGTTCTGAAACAAGGTCTGTTCGCGATCGAGGAGTGATATGCTCTCCGAGGCCTGCCATAAGCTTTCTTCGGAACTATTCGCTGCATGATTGTTGATTGCATCCCGGGTCGGTGGTTGAGTATCGATGATCCTTGTTGCTTTCTGCAATGGCGTGATGTCGCTGTCTGTTTGACCATCTGGTGATGTATCGAGTAACTCACCGTCAAGACCCAGTGGTGCATCAGTGTCTGGGAAGGCTTCATTCGATGCATCGTTTGCAAGGATGCCGAACCATCGAACTGCAGCGACGCTGGCTGATGCTGCTGGGGTCGTCGAGTTTGAGTCGGATTGTCCTCCAGACCAGTCATAGTAAGGCAGCTGTTGTGTCTGAAGATTCGCATCCCAGTTCAAACCCTCGGCGACATGAACATTCTGAGCAGCACCTAGACCGGCGTGCGACTGAGAGGCAGCAATTGATCGAACAGTCTGCGTCAATTCATCCTGCGAAGTAATGATCTGTCCCAACTGTCTCAGAATCTCAAGACTCGCAGGGTCAAACCTATCGCATCCGTCAGAATATAACTTACAATAAGTGATAAACTCACGTAGAATGGTCCTTCTCAGTATTATCATACGAACACGAGATATTCAACGACGCACAGAATCCACATGTCGGCTGCACATTGTCGCACTTTGTCTTACGCGCTCTGCACACATGACACGCCTTGAGACTCCTCTTCCTGGGATATCGCGGATCGGACGCGGGTTGACGCGGTCGCTTACGTGCATTGTCCTCCGACATTGTAAAGTAGCGTTTGATAGCGAGTGTAAGGATCGGGGAGATGTGAGATTACTTCCCGATGAGTTGAGGGGGCAATGTCTTGGCAGTGTTGGTCATGAGAATGGGATATGCACGTGCTGTGCAACCCCTCACGGGGAGTCTCGGGTATGGCGAAGTGAAACGCAGATCTGGGGAGATCGGCGCGAGAAGGATTCTGTGAGACGAATTAAAACAAGTCGATTCCCATGTTTGCTTGATATTTACTTTTGCAAGTCTCAGGTTGTCATTTATTGACTTGATCGTTGGTCAACTTCCCAGCCACCAAAGATGGGCGAACTCTCTGAACCTCCCAATGGCCATGTCAAAAGCAGCATCTCGTGGCAAACAGCACATTTAAAGAGTCGCCCAAAATACTTTTCAACAGATATTCTCATCGCAGGCGGTGGCTTGGGCGGTGTCGCAGCAGCACTCGGAGCTCTCCGTCGAGGCCGTAGTGTTTTTCTCACCGAGGAATATGACTGGTTAGGCGGCCAATTGACAAGCCAAGCTGTGCCTCCTGACGAGCATACCTGGGTTGAGCAATTTGGTGTCACAAGGTCTTATCGAGCACTTCGTGATGGTATAAGACAGTATTACCGCGATAATTATCCCTTGACAGAGGAGGCGAGACGGAGGGCGCAGTTGAATCCTGGGGCGGGACATGTCAGCAAGCTTTGTCATGAACCGAGAGTCGCAGTGGCTGTTATCGAAGCAATGCTCATGCCGTTCATCGGCAGTGGACTTCTCACTGTGAAAAAACGTGTCAAGGCCGTTTCTTGTGAGATGGTTGGACAGATCGTGAGATCTGTTGAGTTCCGAAAACTGGACGGTGAAGGGACTTTTACTGTTGATGCAAAGTACGTCATTGATGCTACTGAGCTGGGAGATCTGCTACCCATCACCAAAACGCCGTACGTGACGGGCTTTGAGTCTCGAAAGAATACAGGAGAGCCCAGTGCGCCGGAGGAAGCGCAGCCCCAAAACTCTCAAGCTGTATCGATTTGTTTCGCCGTGGATCACGTCGAGGGCGAAGACCATACAATTCCCAAACCTGAGAGATACGATCACTGGAGGAGCTGTCATCCCGATTTCTGGGGTGCACCGCTGCTTAGTCTCAAGGCGCCGCATCCTCGAACACTTGAGATAGTCGAGCGAGAGTTCACACCAAACCCCAATGATGATCCAGCTTCCGTGATCTCGGACCAGAGAAAGTCAGGAGGAGACATGAATCTCTGGACATTTCGACGCATTGCAGCGAAAGATAACTTCATCTCTGGAGCATATCGCTCAGATATCTGCCTTGTCAACTGGCCGATGATCGACTACTTCGAAAAGCCGATCATTGACGTTTCAGAAGATGAACTGCAAGAGCGTCTTGCCGAGGCTGCGTCTCTGTCGTATAGTATGCTGTACTACCTCCAAACAGACTGTCCTCGAGCCGATGGGAAGGGTACAGGCTATCCTGGTCTGCGATTGAGAGGTGATATAACGGGTACGGAACACGGTCTTGCAATGGCTCCTTACATCCGCGAATCTCGACGCATAAAAGCCGTAACCACCATCGTGGAACAAGATCTCTCCCTCGATGTGCGCGGTTCAAAAGGCGCAGTGCACTATCCCGATAGTGTCGGTGTTGGAATGTATCGTATCGATCTCCATCCTTCCACCGGCGGTGACAACTACATCGATGTAGCCTGCTGTCCATTCGAGATTCCACTTGGTGCTTTGATACCGGTTGAGAGACCGAACTTGCTCGCGGCGTCGAAGAATATTGGGACTACGCATATTACGAATGGATGCTACCGGTTACATCCTGTGGAGTGGAACATTGGCGAGGCGGCGGGTTTGTTAGCCGCGCATTGTTTGGACAAAGAGTTATCACCGCATGAAGTACAGGGCAAGAAAGAGCTGTTTACAGAGTTTCAGGATATGATCATCAAAGAGGGAGTAGAGACAGAGTGGCCTGATGTATCTGGATACTGATCAGGGTTCGCAGAGACGCTATGGTAGGTAATACTGGGTTACAGAATACAAGAGTCTTGTATCAAGATGGAGATGATGAAATGAAAGACTAGTAAACTCTAACTATAGACTGCTTAAATAACGGATCATAAAGGTTAATTCCATAGCAGCAGGTACTCAAATCTTACTCATATGGCTTCTGTAGTTGATTCCCTTCAACCTGCTCAGCAAACCTGGGGATGTGAGTAGTATGACACCACGGCTTCAACTCCTCTTCCTTTCGAATCGTCGCCGCAAAGCATCCCAGCCATCCCTCACGTGGGAAAGCGTTGTTGACTTCCTCGCGCGTCTGCTCATGAATAATCTTCCCAAAGTCCTTCACGTTGGGATGTTCACCCACGTTATCATAGATCGTAGCTAGTTGAATGAGCTGTCCGAGGAAGGTGATGTTTCCCTCGGTGCCAAGGTCTTGATGACGGATTATCGTCTCGCAAACCGCTTCGGCTTGGTCTTTGGTAGAGCCGGTCTCTTGAAGCAGGTTGAGAGCTTGGAAGCCACCCTGAAACTCAAACGAGAGACGAGTTGAAGACATGTTCTCGTCCGTGGTCCCGATGTCGTGGAGGAGGCAAGTCAGTGCCAGTGTCGAAGGCGAAAGAGTCTTGGCATGCTCTGGGAACTGCTGTCGGAGAATGACAGTAGCTGGCGGCAAGACTCATTAGTACATAAAACTCAATTCAACCGAGGCGGCCATGTACTTACACCAGTAGTAAACTCTCATGGAATGGTTATAAGTCTGCTTCAGCAACTTATCTTTGGCATGTTGCTGGGTCTTCTTGACGATTGGGTCATCGTCCGGGAACTGAATGCTTTGAACGTCAATGTACTCACGTTCGTTGATATAAGGTCCATTACTGAAGATCTTTCCGGCATCGACTGGGACAGCAGTCCATCCATTTGCAGCAATTTCACTGGAACTCATATTGAGAAAGGAAGAAAGAATTGGGGAGGATCAATGAGGGTTATTGAATTAAGCAGAGTGAAAAAGAGGAAAAAGGAATCGAGGGAAAATTGAGGTCAATAAATAGGAAAAGTCTGGCGCTGGATTTCTAATCAAGACTATCAACCTGAGGACGTCGTTTGAGGGGTAATGTGCGACTATCGACCTAAGGCCGTCGGTTTTGGAGTTTTTCGCTTCGATGATGGTGCACTTTTCATATGTCATCATGCCCGCTTACATGCGTCATTCGCACTAGACTGAAACTGCACAATCAACGAGATGGAAGTTCTCGGTATAGATATCAAACAGTTTCTTAATGAAATACCTAGCGCCTTGTAAATTCAGACCTTTCCAGCCACAAGTTCATACGAAGGCGGTGGAACCTCAGACGTGGGCAACTCGATCTCATGTCGAACAGCTGGAGTTGAGGGACCTGCTTCAACTTCTCTCGGTCGAAGAAGTTCCTGTAAATCCTTTCTCCCAACTGCCTTGATGAAGTTGACAGCTTCTTGATTCTCTTTGACGGTACCATCAGCACCGTAATTCATCAACTTCGCCGTCAGGTTATAGTCAAGTCTCATCAGTGCTAGCTTCAAAGGCGTTCTGTTCAGTCCATCGACCTCGTTGACATCAACACCTTGTGCCAGTAACGCTTCAACAGTGTTCTGGCGGTTGACATCGATGGAGTATGTGAGGAGAGTTTGGCCCGAGAGCATGCGGACATTTGTGTTGACGGCTCGGCTGAGAAGAGCTTGCACCACCGGGGTACTGGGCATTTCGACAGCGTGACAAATAGCTGGCAGACCAAAGATAATATCAACCGTTTCAGGACTCGCACCATTCTCCATCAGCATCTTTATAACCTCAACCTTCTCGTCGTTATTCAAGAACGGGTTTCTAATAACTTTGATGAGAATCGGTTGCTGATGCGCATCTGTACCATCAACATCGGCACCCCCCTCGATGAGTTTCTTGACAATCTGGAATCTCTTCATACCAATAGACGCCTCCAGGATACTCGTTCCGAGAATGTTGAGAAGCCTTGCACTTGAGCCTTTGTCAAGGAGTAGTCCTACCATGTCAGCGTTGCCGCTCTGAACTGCCGTGTAGAGAATGGTTTGTTTAACAGCACTCTCGGCATTGGGATCGGCGCCGTGATCGAGGAGAATATTGGCAAGTTCGACATTCCCCTTCTTAACGGCGTATACAATAATCTCCTCACCTATTGCATCCTTGGAACTTGCGTTGGCCCCGTGCGCAAGAAGAAGGCGGGTAATCTCGATGTTGTCTGTCTTGACGACCTGGACAATGACTTCCTCTCGTCTCTCATTCTTTGCATTGACTGGAGCGCCATTCTTAAGGAGGAACCTGATACCATCCAAGTTGCCTTTAGCGACAACATCAACAAAGTACGGCTTCCCAGTCTTTGATTTGCTGTGTACACTTTCCCCAGAATCGATAAGCATCCTGGCGACCTTGAGACTTCCGATAGAAGCAGCCTTGAATAAGGGCGGTAGCTTGTTGCTTTGTGCTCCAACCTGTAGAAGAATACGAGCGGTTCCAACCTGATCGTATCTTATGGCGCACTTTAGTGGTGTATCCCCATCTTCGTTTCGACCGTTGACGTTTCCACCTTGGGTGATTAGGCCGGAGACTTGTTGCTCATCCCCACGAGCGGCGGCTTGACAGAGCGTTGAGACCAATGGATCATGCTTGCGAAAGCCTGATGTAAGGGCTCTTAAGAACGAGGAGCCTTTGGGCCGGCGACAGTTGTCTACCGGACTATGAACGAGTGGTGAAGACGTTGATGGTGATGCTATGGGCGGCGATGTTGTTGTTGATACGGGCTCTGGATACGAAGGGGGCGCTACTTCTTTCTCCGCGACAGGCATTTTCTCGCTACTGGACATTGTATCCTTTAGAGCAGTATCTTTACCTGCTTTCACAAGTCTTTGGTCTATAGCCGACTTTACTGCTTCTTGCGCTTGATGGGTGAAAAAGGCTGCGCCTGATGGCCCAAAAGACTCATCCTTCCTGATGCATATTAGAAACTGAGTCAATATGTGAGACTGGCAACGTACCTGACGAGGGGAGTGCAAACTTCGAGCATGTAGTTGTAAACAACAAGGCAGCCTTCATGTGCCTTCAAGAACCCACTGTCTGAAGCTGCTGTATTCTCTAGCTGCCAGCTAGCCAATTGCATACGTAGAACTTCGAGTACCGTTTCATAAATCGTGAAGAGAGGAGTGAGAGTCTCTCGAGTGTCGCGAAGTTTACGGCTGTCGGGTTTGGTATGGAGGAGCTCTTCCAGGTCAGCGAGTCTGCGCTTCAGCTCCTCGAGACCAGATGATATAGCCTTGAGCTCTAGAACCTGCTGCTCATCTCGTTCGGCCACGCCATCTGCAGTGGCCTCACAAGCTCCTGCGCGCCTCGAGATGGACCTGCATAGGTTGATGAGATCGATGCTGGATGTCGCAGTCATACTGAAGGGTTCTCGCTGTTAATCTCGATATTGATGAGATGATAGATTTGGGGTCGGTCTGTTGATATATAATGCGGGGAGCTAGCCAAAGCTTGGCAGTCAGATGCTATACCGTAGCGTGATATTTCGGCCGAGCTTGTCGTGAGTTGATGACGATGATTGACAGGGGCTTGGGACATGGATGCGCGGCGCGGCGTAGCACCCAGACTAGCAGCCCTACACTATGATTCTTCGATGTTTACCTCCCTTAGACCAGTAATTTCTCATTGATCTGTTTCACTAAATCCGGCATTCCTGGGTATCGGCCTTCACTAGGGGCGCGAGGATTGTTACGCTCCGGCATCTGTTGATGCCACTCGTAACGGCCAAGTTTGCGGAAACGCCCTGCCGAATGCCTTATGCATCTCAGTGGGCTTGGCACCACCCAATGTGGTATAGCCATTACACTGTTGATCCTTCGCCCAGGACATTTTGGGGAATCCTTTCGAGGCGGCGGGAAATGCTTATGGGTCGGCAATCTTCTCGAATGCACTGCTACCAAGGTTCTTTCGTGGACGCGTCATTCGAGTAGGACGTCTAGGGGAGGAAAGAAAACTCAGGATCTTCACTTAAATGACAAAAAGACTTAGGTGAATTTGCATAAAGTGAGGGTCAGCATATGATAAGTTTATTTTGACACATTATACTAAGGTCTGGGGTTTTCTCGCTCCCTAAGGGACGTGAAATATTTGCAATCCACCTTCTAATCTAGCGACGTGCGAAAGCATGTTAGGGTTGAGTCTGTGATCTGACACCTGTGTCAATAAAGAGCGCTGTTGACGAAAATTCTCCTGTGTCGTGCACAGTTGATTGGCTGGTATCTGAGGCACGCCTGAACAAAGGCTTTGTATGGAACATGGGATGGAACAATATCAACAATATCATAAGCAGCCATGTGATTTGTCTCCAAGCGCCGTGTGGGTTCATTAGACTATCGAAAAGAACGCCTGTATAGGCAGGTTGGCGCACAGTTTGCTATGTTACATTGCCAATGTCTTCTTGATACTACATCCAACGACCCAAAGAACGGCAAAAACAAAAAGGCCAAAGGTCCAAGACTCTCCAACTTGACCACAGTATTGAGACTCATCGTCTACTTCTTGACATCTCCGGAGCGGCGAGTGTGGTTGGGGTGCTTGACAAGAACACCTTCCTCGAGGCGGCGAGGGTGCTTGAAGCCCTCCACGATAACGATGTCATCATGGAGCTTAGCCTTCCCCTTGGTATACTTCATGACGGCATTGACCTCAGTGTCCTTCATGACGATGATGAAGTCTTGGTTGCCAGCCTCCTTGGTATCCTTCCAGACAGCACGAGGGCGCTTGGGGGCCGCATGGTCGATGATCTCGACATAGTCATCAGCGATGTAGTCGAGCTCGATTTCGAAGTCCTCGAGAGCGCGAACCGACTCTTCCACTTCCTTGGAAACGGCCTCACAGGCCTGGCCCTTGCAGTCAACTGCCTTCTTCGAGGAGAAGAAGCGAACCATTTTGGGAGTTTGTTATTGGCTCTGTAGTTCGGTTGTCAGTATTGAACTTATGCCAGGAGCGATAGAGTCTTGGTTACCTTTTGAGGTTTAGTGTTGCAGTTGTGAGAATGGGTTTGTTATTGCGGTTTGGACGTTGCTTTGGGAAGAAGAAACAAAGTCCAGAGATCAGTTTTAGTGTTGCAGTTGTGAGCAAGTGTTTGCTATCGAGGTTTGGTTTTGGCTTTGGGTAAGAAGAAATAAAGTCAAGAGGTGAGTCCTAGTGTTACAATTGTGAAGAAGTGCTTGTTGTTGAGGTTTGGGTTTTGGTTGGAGAAGGAGAAGAAGAATTCAGAGTTGAGTTTCTGATGGAAAGGCATACCTCGGTGGAGAAGGCTAGGTGAATGAAGACTCTGGAGGTACTGGTAGAGACGAGCGTATGCCCATTGGTTATGGAAGAGAAGTCGTTTGAACAGACCCATTGTTTGTTTTCAAACGGATGAAACTAGCCTTTCGAAATACAAAAGGTTCGGTCGAGGCTGCCAGCTGTTGACAGTGCAAGACGCTAGCCTGTGTAAAAACACGTAAATGCTTCAAAAGCAAGTTATCAAGTTGAAGAGACGAAATGCACAGGGGAGCGGATTTACCCTCACCATTTCTTTCATGGAATACCCAGTACTATTCAGTCAATCGAATACGAACCTTTGAGATAGTTTGGCTTACTACCAGCGTTGTGCGAGTCCAGTGTCTTGGTTGGAGACATCGTTCTTGGGCATGCCTTTGAAATTGATCTAAGATTAGCTCAACAAAATGCTAGCAAAAAAAGTAACTCCATAAGGGGTTGTTTCTAGCTCTAGCATAAAGCTATTGTCTATACTGTTCTCCCGTCCTTGTATCGCAATGTCTCAGGTTGTCCAATCCATTAAAACTCTTATGAGCTGTCCCGGTACATGGATGACCCAGAATCAGGGAGCAGTAAGGTAAATCAAGAATCAGAAACCTACTGCACAAGACTGAGATGTCTGGAGTATCAACTTATGTGAGTAAGTGTCCTTCCAGTATTAATGATGACTGGTTTTGCACCAGCAGATATTAATAGTCGCCCAAGGTTCCTTTCAGGGGCATTCCATTGCTACCCCCGCCTCTTTTTGTCCCAGTACTTCGCAAGCGAGGAGACAAGACACTCGATCGTTCAACCATACGCCTAGCCGCTACTAACGTCCACAGTTTCGGATGCGAGGTCGATTTGCAGACTTGAAGGGGCCAGTTTGTTGCATGAGTACAGCATTGGTATTTAGACCACAAGAACTGCGTTTATCCCTTTCTAATAGTGCGGCCGGCCAGGAGGGAGATTGGGATAGTCATAGGGAGGTTCATACGGATTCAGTGGGACTTCAGGGATAGGGGGGTAGTTATAAGGGAACCGCCCGGGGGGAAGCGGAGGCCTGCCAACAGGAGGACCAACAGGGGGTAAAGGAGGAGCCGGAGCCGGTAAAGGAGCCGGAACCCGGGGTGGAGGTCGAGGGGGCGGGACTTGAGGGATGTTGGGATAGTTACATTCATTGCAGGGTCCATAGGCTGCATCTTGTGCTGGATCTTGTTGCTCATAATGCGCAACATATCCGACTTGCATACCAACCGCACGGCCCTCCAAGGTATATTCACGAGGTGGCCCCGGCTACGAGATGTTAGCTTGACGGCTTCACCAAGAGGGTTTAGACCTACCCAATCACCACCAACGGCGACGTTGAAAATAATGAACATCTTGTTCCACGCAATGGTCTTCCAGACCTCCAAGTCGCCAATTTGCGCCCCCGTGACCTTATGAAAGAGTTCATCGCCAACGTAGAAGCTTACACTCTCCTCCTGCCAGAACTCCGGCGTGCGGTCGATGACAACTTTGTAACTAGTTAAGCCCGTAGCCGTATTCGAGTGAGAGTACGACCCGGAGATACCCTTCTTCTCCTCGCAGATACCACCAGGAGACTTGTCACAATGAACAGCGGCATAAGTCTTTTGCTCGCCATTGACGTGCTCCATAATGTCGAGCTCGCCACAGGCAGGCCATATGGGACCTCCGGTGCGGTGGCTGTCACCAAGCAACCAAAAAGCAGGCCAGATGCCTTGCTTCGTGCCTCTGGGGGCCGTGCCAAGAGCTATGCCAGCTTGGACAATGGTCTTGACACCGGGTGGAGGGGTGAGAGTGTACGTGCTCTCGATGCGGCCGGATGTCCAACCTTTTACCGCAGTGGGGTCACGCCACGGATGGATATGAAGGCTGCCACCCATGATATGGACGTTTTCAGGGGAAGCCCTGTACTCTTGGTGATCGCCGTTGTGATCCTGGTACCAATGTTGAATGTTCCATTTGGAAGTATCTGGTAGAGAGCCATCGACCCCTCCGAAGTTGTCGTGCCACATGAGCCGGAACCCTGGAATCTCAGGGGCATTCCAGGCTGTGCCAGTGGCGGCGAGAGAGCAGAGTAAAATAGCTAGAAAGAACATCTTGAGTGCAGTGAGTTGGAGTTTGAACCCGGAATGTGATATTTTGTTGTTGAGAGAAGGAAACATGAAGGGGGGGGGGG